CGATATTAAATACCCTAGTATATAATCAAAAAATACACCACGTGCACTCAAAATGTGCCCCAAAGCACTTCTTGGTTCGCAGTCCCGATGGGCACCGTTGAAAAGTCAAGATGCCGCAGAGCTTCGTGAAAAAATGCGAAATAAATACTTATAGTACTGTACGGTCTCATCACCGCACATACTGAGCTGACATAGCGACCTACTTTGGGGCGCGCGTCATAATAGTTAATTTTATTGATATTATATATTAATTACACGAGTACGTTAAGAGTGCGTATTCGGAACAGTTAAGCAAAGAATCATCTACTAATATTTTTATCTGTATTTATGTTCGGCTGCAATAAATATACATATCTAACTTTGGTGACTTCTTTACCTGCGTAATACAAACAATTATCAACATCTAAAAGGTGTACGCGATCACACTGGCTCGTACAAGTATGTAAAGTTTATTTTTTTCGAGAGGTATCTAATAAACGTTTGTTAATTTTACGCATTGGAAGAAAATTATGTTATAATACTTATTATAAACTGTTTTAATAGAAAATATTTGGATATTTAAATGCATGGTCAGGAATATAACTCACTCTTTTCCTCGCGGTCTAGACCTGCTAAATTGCTAACAGCGCATTCAGATTTGCGCGTAGAGTCAAAGAAATAAGGTCTTTATTCTTCCGCATATAGCATAAGAAAATTTTATCACTGTCATAACTCTTTGATCATCGCACGTAATAATAGGGATGATGACTATTTGTTTTTTCTTCGTTTATTAGGTAGATTATCAAAAAGTATTGGACACGTAGTTTTTTTTCACATAATATAAACATTGCAGAGATATATTGATTTGAAAAGACGCATGACGTCATCTTTTGGTACAATTTTTACTTAAAAGTGACGTTACGAGCCCCCACTCCCAAACTTTGACGCGTTATAACTTTGTCATTTTTTGGTTGACTGCGCAAAGAAAAAATGCGTGTCCATTATTTTTTGATTATCAAACTGACGGATTAAATAGAATTTCGTTTACCTTACCCCGTCATCACGAAAATCGAATAGGGATTCGCGAAGTCGCAATTCATGTCATTATCTTTACCCTTTTTATATTATAGAGAACTAGCAAACCAGCGAACCAAACGTTCACCAAAACCGGATTTAAAAAAAAAACAAAATATTTACTTAATTGAGAACTTCGGAGATTTTGTGTGGTTTCGTTTGAAATTCGTGATTTCTCGAAAACCGGAAGTGCTACGTTACTCAAATCCGGTTCGTAGTCTTATCAGACTATTCTTAACTTATAACTTAAACATTCTCTCTATCTATCTCTTACGGTTTGGCCGCTGAGACAGCACCACAGACGGACGGACGAACGGACTCGTCTAACAGATAAGAGATTTATTATCGTTTCGGGATCCGCACTCCCGACCTGACCGCGTTCAGGTAATCGGAAATCATCGTTATGGCATTTTATCATATACGATGAGAACCGTCGGTCGGGTCGCACCGGATCGGAGTCGGAACACGTCGCGTCTGTTTCAGAACGCAAAGTGCGTCATAAGCGCGCACGACAGCCCGCTGGCGGCGCTGGCGTGGTCCATGTGCGGGCGGCGCCTCGCCACCGCCTCGGAGCGCGGCACCGTCATCCGGGTGTTCGCGGTGCCGGACCGCACGCGGCTATACGAGTTCCGGCGCGGCGTCAAGCGATGCGTCTCCATCGCCTGCCTCGCGTTCAGCGCGTGCGGCGCGCTACTGGCCGCCACCTCCAACACGGAGACCGTGCACGTGTTCCGGCTGCAGGACGGCGCCGCGGAGGAGGGGGGCGCCGGCGGGCAGGGGGGCGCCGCCGGCGGGCAGGGCGCCGACGCGGAGGGCGCCGGCGACGGGGCGGGGGACGCGGGGGAGGGGGGCGCGGGGGGCTGGATGGGGTGGCTGGCGCAGGCGGTGTCGGCCGGCGCCGGGTACCTGCCCGCGCAGGTGGCCGACGTGCTGGCGCAGGGGCGCGCCTTCGCGGCCGCCAGGCTGCCCACCACCGGTCATCGCGCCGTCGCCGCCATCACCAAGTGAGTACCTTCTCGTTAGCGCGTCACCCGCATACGCATACACGACGCTCCGCAGTTAACGATATATTTCAAGTAAGTGCCTTTTTTTTTTTTTTTTTTTTTTTTGAGGAGCTCGATGGCGCAAGTGGTTAGCGCGTTCGGCTGCGATCGTTGAACTTATGCAACTTTCGCAGTGGTCGGTCATTAGATGGGTGACCAAAAATTAATATCTCGAGCTCCTCCGTGCTTCGGAAGGCACGTTAAGCCGTTGGTCCCGGCTGCATCTGTAGTCGTTAGCACCCACCAATCCGCACTGGGCCCGCGTGGTGGGTCATGGCCCAATCTCCCTATTCCATCCATAGGGAAGGCCTGTGCTCCAACAGTGGGGACATTAATAGGCTGATGATGATGATGATGAAGTGCCTTTTCACATGTACACGGATACGGCACGGTTGCCGTGCCGTGTAAAATAGTAATGTATGAGCAACAATGAGAGCTTTCACATTGCACGGCGACCGTGCCGTGACCGCGTGTCGGCCGTCCTTATCCACTATAAGCGCGGTTTTGTAGGGATATTCGATATACATCGATGAATCGAAAACATCGATGTTTGCAATGAAAAACATCGAATCGATCCGATGTTTTGAAAAGCTTTCGATATACTCGATGCATCGATGTTTAAAAAATTATCGAATTGGTGATACGGTTTGACCGCGTAGTGATAATATCCTCTTGTCGGTTTAACCTCAGTAAAAAAAAACTTAAGTTTGACCACTAAAATTTTACTTACTGTTATGAAAGCATTCCGAATTCTCCGATATAGCTCCGATGTTGGCGACACTGCGCAAGAGTCAGTGCGGTGACAATAAAAAATAACAACGAGTTTCTATATTTGTTTCTTAGGTCACACACTGCAAGACCATCAGATACTATTAGTTCTTTTTGTTTGCATAATTTAACATAAGAAGGAGATAGAAAGCTCTTGAGTTTGTTTCGCCGGTTCTTCTCAGGAAGGTCTCCCAATTTTGGAACCGGTGGTAGTTTACGGTAGTTAGGGTCAAATAAATAAACTCAAAATTACAAACAAGAATTTTAAATAAAATACTTTATTAAGTAAATTAAATAATAAATTCATACATAGACAATAAAATTTTAAAAATCTTCTTCCAATGAAATAACCGAACGCACAATATAATTCTTTCGAAGATAGCTCGACAATTTTAAATAAAATCATTATTCTGACGATGCAGACCTGAAAAGGCTGCGAAACGTCAATAAATAAATAAAGTTTCGTGCATTAACCCGTAAAAACTAGTTTTATTTACGAGTTTCTATGTTTAAAAACATTTAATAACCTTTGGTTTTGTGAAACAAACTAAGATTGAAGTATATTTCTAATATTCTATTGACAGACAGAAAAAAATTTAAAATTTAAGAAAAAGTACTCAATGTTTGAAATACATCGATGTATAGTTGCGATGTATCGAATCAAAAAATACATCGATGTTTATTCAGAGTGGACACCCCTACGGTTTTGACGCGGCAACCGTCTTTATAGTATTGTATGGACTTGTATAGACGCGTTCACATGAACACGGGTGCGGTACGGCACGGCGAGCGCGAATACCATTCGTCAGCTAAAGTCATAGGGAAACGGACGGACGATTGTTGCAGAATGTCTGTCGAAATCGATGTTGATGTGTTGATTTCGCTAGTTGAAGCGCGTCCTACTTTATGGGATAAAACCATCGCGTCTTATAAAAACAGGAACGAGACAAAAGATCAGTGGAAAGAAGTATGTATAGGATTAAATAGTAGTTTCGAAGAATTAGATGATAATGAAAAGAATTTTTTTTTGTTCCATGATAAAAGACGTCGTCGTTCCCCAAAATTCTCGATAATACTGCAACATCCTTAGCCGGCGACCGTGTGTAATGTGAAACAGCTAGCATGGTTGCACGGCATGGCGGCCTATGCCATGTGAAAAGGGCCTAAGTCTGGTTACTCTGACTTCGCTTCGTTCTATTTTGCTCCTTTAAATATTTCACTGGATAAAATTTATCGGTCTGATGTCGTATTATACGGACGAAGAGTTGATTTGTGCTAATCGGTGTGACGGATGACATCCCTCTCTATTTGATTGAGTGTTAATTTATTAAACGGTTAAGTTTTATTCGAGTTTTGAAAATCGGCCCATTAAAATTTCATCACCGAAACATCGCAATTAAAAAACTATACAAATGATGGCACATTCACACTTAAAAAATAACGGGGTGTGGTCTTTCCGATATGTCTCTTTATATTTTGAGAAATTTTGAACATGTTACTGATTTATATAATTTCGATTACTATTGTAATTTACGTTAGTTTAGTTGAGTTAGTCAGTAGTGCTATGCTCTTTTGCACTGTAGTCGAATTCTTTAGTATACAATTTACTACAGTATGACATGTTAATTTCGGCAAATATTTTAGTTAAATTTTTCTGATGTAGACCCCGCTTGCAACAAATTAGCCAAATCTTTACTCAACCAAAACTAGATGTAGCCAATAAAATAATATCAAATTAACTCTGTGACATTTTTACATGAGTTTAATCTAATTTTGACGACCTCCGTGGCCGAGTGGTTTATACGCCGGGTTTCATGGTGTCGCCGACTCGAGAGGTCCCGGGTTCGAATCCCGGTGGGGGCAGATGTTTGTGTGATGAATACGAGCATTTGTACTCCAGTCATGGATATTTAATATATATTTCTATATGAATATACTTATATATGTACAGTTTATGTATTCTATCCGTTACCCTAGCATCCCATAACACAAGCCTTATAGTGCTTACTTTGGGGCTAGGCTAATTGGTGTGAGTGTTGGAAATATTTATTTATTTAATTACAGTTGAAACGAGATTTAGCAAATTTTCTTAACAGTTTGCATATATACATAGCTATGTCGCGTTCTGTCCCGCAGCATGCAGCGAGCGCCGCGTCTCCTGGTAGCGACATCTGCGGGCGTGCTATACGTGTACGGACTAGACGCGGCCGAGGGCGGCGAGTGTCCGTTACTGCGGCAACACCAGTTCGTCGACCCCGCGCCTGCGACCGCGACCGCGACCGCGACCGCGACCGGCCAACACGCGCAGCGACCGGCGCACGACCACGACGGTGAGACCGACCCCCCTGCTATCGTATAACTATGTCAGCCAGTCGTCCGATCGCTCGCCGATCGATGCCTCCGCCTCGCCAGACAGTAACGCGGCGCGCGGCGACCGGCCGGACGCTATATCGTCCGCGCCGGCGCCGTCGAGCCGGACAGTGTTATCCGTTCCCCCTCCCCTCCCCTCGTCGTCGTATGCGTGCGGTACTAATGGGCTAACAACTCACGGGGCGGTCTCCACCCCGCACTCTCCGCGGTCGACCGCACATTTCGTTTCAAAATTGACGGCACTGTAGGTTTTTCCAAAGGCTCGTGAACTAACGAAAGAGGATTGGACGAAGCTCGCGCAGTCGGCAGACGTGAATTGCGCCGTCAAATTTGCTCTAGTGTTTTACCTACGATAGGCTAATTGATAAGTTTTTGGAAACGTTCATACGTTAATTACTAGTGCTGAACGTTAGCGACACTATAAGAAGGGGATATTTATAATTCTGTTGCGTATATTAGTAAAAAAACGAAATAAAAATATATGCCGCAAAAACGTTTCTCTAGCCAACATGGCATCTTCCAAGCATGTGACGTCACACGCCTGTCGTTAAAAAATTAAACAGTACAGTGGAAAATTTCGACAGTATCTTCACAAGCAGGTGACGACATTTCAGGCTCCGTCTATCCTAGCAGTTTTCGGTCACGTGACAAGGGAGCAATATATACTTTTCTACTTCATGATTTCTAGTAATATTATGAAACTACTTTCAGAACAGTAAAATCGCCCCTAATATTCATGTTAAACACGCATGCCAATAATTGGTACTTTAGTTTTCATACTGTCAAATAGCCTGTTGCGTCGCGAAATTTGCTATTATGATTTATCAACAAATTCATATCGTACCCGAATTGCGATACCGCAACCGCGGCGGGTGCGGCCGGTAATCGCGCTATGAGTTGTTAGCCGTAATGGTGTTGTTATATTATTGCGGGCAGCGGCGGCCGGCGCCAGTTACGCGGGTAAGCTGCGAGGCCGGGACCCCGCAAGGATCACAGGTACAGAACCCCTCCACCTCACATCTGACATCCCCAACCCCAACCCCTAGCCCACCGTTCCGCGATCTATGCGCCCGCCCAGACTCCGACGCGAAACCACTACTAATATCGACCCTTTTTCAAGAATCTTTCCTTTCTTCATATATATAGAAAAACTTAAATTCAGCGGGTAATTCGCGACCAAATCGAACGCCTGGAAAGACAACTTTTTTTCCCCGGACGAAAAATCAAATCCCGGAAGCGGTCTCGCGTCGGGGACTCGGACGGTGCACACGCAATATCGAAACATGCAAAGTTTAACTCTAAACGACCGCCACACGAGCTTTTTCGAGCGCAAACTCCTCTCATGAACCACTAACGCGATGTACATAACGCGCCTGCGACCGATCGTCAGCATATCATCGGCCTCCGTCGCGGTCGCGGAACTCGCGTCAGTCAGGTCGTGGTAGTCCCCGCGATCCCATCCAGTCCCGGAAGCAGGAGTGGCGAGCGACGCCGGCCCGTCTGCGGATAGATCCGGCGTCGGAGCGATCGGGAATCGTCGGCGGCTTCGGTAGTACAGCGTGAGTCCCCACAGGCGCGGGCGCGGCGACGGGGGATTCGGCGACGAGAGCGGCGGAGCGCCGGCCCTCGCTCGAGTGAGGAGGTAAATACCGGCGCTGCGGCTGCGGCTGCGGCTGCGGCTGCGGCTGCGGCTGCGGCTGCATCCAGCTCTGTGTTCGGTCCAGGCGAGCGTTCTGTGTCGTGCACCCGCCTCACCCGCGTCACCCGCACATCGGGGAAAAAGTTTCGTTTCTTTGAGCTTGTGTGACCAAACAGTAAATACGTAGTTAAGAGCTCTTTCAAATTTTTTTTGCAAGAAATCGTAATTTTTGAGTACCTCGTTTACCCCCTTAGAAAAGATTTTGATTGTTTCCAATGGAAGCAAACGGTAGATTTGTTCTTCCCATTGTAAGTTAATGGAGAATATTTGCAAATACTGTTTTCCTTTTTTTGTACTGATCGTTCTACCGCAGCTAGTTTACGGAGAAAACGATAATATACACAACTTCAAACGTCTAAATCTCTCAATAATGTTCAATAAATTAGATCAAATTAATTAATCCGCCACCAGAAATGTGTTTTTATTGTAACATAATGTATTAAAATTTGGATTTTTCATCTCATTAATTATCAAAAAAATCATCTAACCTCCGTGAGTTTTCCCAAAAAATAATGCAGATTTACATCGGATTTTGATATTGAATTAAATAAAATTACTTTCAAAAACTTTCACAAAACTAACCTACCATCATAAAAATACTGAAATATGTATATATTTTTATAATTAGTTCATGATTTATTATTATATACTTAAGACTCAAAACATCGTAAAAAACCCGTAAAATGCAATATATACTCGTGCAAATCTACCTACGCGCCGATCAGTAAGGCAGCGGCGCAATTTTGTAAAAGGGCTCTTAAGAATGTATTGATTTGTATTTTCTTTAATAGATGTCGTTCCATTATTGCGAATCGCGGTAACGTTTGATCTCAGTAGTTTATGTCTTAATGCGATGAATTGAAATTTCGAACTTTACAATAAAAACCTGTCGTGTGCGAAACTTTATTGAGTTTTCGAAGCACGCCCTCTTGGGAACGGTAGAGTTTGCCCGTGGTCCTTCGAGCCGGAGTATGTTCAATGCTGAGTTGTAATCCAGTTTGAGTTCAAAACCTTCGAATATGACAAAGAGCAGTTTCGTTTTAAAATTATAACTAAACGAATTCAAACCTTTATTTACAAGATCGATCGGTGGTGATGAGAAGCGTATCGTTAGCGATAAGAACGCGAGGGTGGAGGTTAAGGACTCGAGTCGAATTCCACAGATTAGCGAAATGTAGATTACACATATTGTAAGATAATACTGTGAGTACTACAAGGGTTGGAAGATCACTTCTGGCAACAAAACAAACATAAACTTTAGTAGTTTTAGAAACGTCAGTAAATAAATAAAGTTTCGTGCGTTAACCCGTAAAAACTAGTTTTATATAAACTTTAGTAACTCAGCAAAAAATTATATAAAACGATCTATATCACAGTTTCCACTCGCTTTGGTTTATTCAGCATTCTCCCAAGCGTGTAAAAACTAGTCCTGATTCTATTTATCGCATAGTTGAAAATACATTACGTGGATAAAACCATTACTACTGTCTTCAAAGTGACAATAATTTGTAAATAAAACATGAAGAAACTTTTTCCCCGATCACCTATATTCATGAGTAATTTCTCCTTCTCCGAAAACTGTTAACTCGATAGAGACACCTTGTCATAAACTTTACAATACTTGAATAAATTTGCTTTTTGATTTGTTTCCAAAACTAAAATATACAGAAGCTGTGCTGTGCTGCTTCTTCAGTATATTTTTCTTTAACAATAATAAGTACATTATAGATAAATAAATATTTTTTTACTATATGGTTATTTTTATCTCTGCTTAATTAAAGAGACTTTAGATTTAATTGTACTTTAATTTCAATTATCAACCGTTATTTGTAAAAACTGTTAGATATTGAGATTGATAAATGTTATTATCGAGTTATAGGTGTACTAATTGAACTGTAAAAATGGCATTTTTTGCGTCACAGTGCCGAGTCTCATGTCCGCATTGTGCATGTAACTAACTGAGGGTTGGCAGATTGAAACGAGCATGTGAGTTGGTGACTGTTAAGATAAAGCACGGGACACACAGGGAGCGAAACGAACGTTTATATCGTGTCATTACCTGCATTTTTCACTTATATTACACATATAATCGTACAGTCCAGCTAAGCCAAATATACAGAACAATCTTGTGGGAGCTATGTGGGGCAGTTTCTCCCTTACTACGCATAGTTAATACGAGAAACTAAGCAATCCACAACCCGCTGATATCTGAGTAAAGATGTCGCCATTTGTAATTTTTTTTATAAGAAAAAATCTAACAAATGTGTGCTGTATGAATATTCCTTATGTGTGTTTAATTACATACTGCAAAAGGTCACTCCTCTCAACAATTCCTAGTGAAATGACATGAACGCTACCGGTGTGTCCCGCGCTTAGAGTGCCGTGTTGTGTTGAACATAACACGCGGTGGGCTGAGGGTAGAGTGCGGATCAAACTTAATGGCGACTGTGAAGTCGGCGCAAGTCAGCGAGGTTTCAGTGCAAAGTTGCAATCGCGGCTAACTTCACGGCGGTCATAAAGTTTCAATCGCACTATAGTTTTATTTAGTCATCATTCTGTGTGTTGTGTGTTTTGTGCTTTACGTTCATCCGGCCGCTTGCGTTGTACCTACTGTCCACTGAGAAACCTTATGAGAAATGAATTAAACTAGTTATAATCGGGATTTACTTGTGAAATTTAGTAGTAAAGTAACACATGTAGGCAGGAATACGTTATATTGTAATTTAAGAGAAAATGCTTTCATTAGTTTGAGAAAATGTTTCTATATCTGTGAACAGCTTAACAGTGCTTCACCTTGCCTTCTCAACGCTCTTATAAAGCGCGGATACATTTATTTTTTCTCTTATTAATAATCATTTATGCAACTGTTGTATAATGAGCGGTATTAAACACAAATGTGGGTTGATAGTATCGCAAGACTTTATCTACACCCATTATATGAATCCTCTATAAGAACGTGCGCTGAGTAAAGCTGGGCATTCTCTAAAAGATTCTGAAAGTACGGAGTGTTCCAAGAACTGAAAATTCATGGAAAGTTTCGGCGCTGTGGTAGTGAAAGGCGCGCGAGAATGACGATGCTTTATTTAAAATTTAATAATACCACACATCGAGCAATGAAAATTGTGGCTGTCTGATGAGTAACCTCTTGGCGTGGAAGGGATTTAAAAAGCGAAAGAGTGTTGTTATGAAATTGTATACAACATTACCACACCCGTTTGGAAATTATTTACCTTTTTAAATTATGACATTGGATGTTTTAATGTTGGCAATAAGCTCACTGTTTCAGAATCTTAAATATAGATTTGAAAGCATGGGGGCAGAAAAAAAATATTAAATGGGTAAAATTGCTTTATTACATGGTGAAATATAACAAAAGGGACAGTAAAGCACTCCATCGATTGTAAAAGAATATCTTTTCAGCTCATTACATTATGTTCAATATTTCCTGCAGTGACTGAATGTAATTTTTAAAATATTGAATTGCGTTTAAAAGTACTTTATTAGAAGAGATGAGTATCTCTCTGCTGATACCCAGAGAGTATTTAAAAAATTATATATACACGAACAGAGACTTTGCGTCAAATGTAAATGAGTCTTAGAAATATGTATAAAAACTATCGGAATATATAAAGTTAAGAGACTGATTTAACGATAGCTTGGTAGTGTTGTTATTGTACATCGATATTATCACACGTGACGTGTGTAATAAGTTAGTTGTAGTGTGTGGACAGTTCTCAGTTTTTGTTATTACGAGGAGAAGTAAGTTATGTCACACGACGTTAAGTACGAGTGGTGGAGAAAACTGTGAAGTTATGCATGTCGTGCATCTTTTTAGATTACGGCTCGATCGAAATTCAACTTTAACATCAAAGACATAGAGTGAACTGACTTAGTGTTTTTTAGCCAGCTGTCAGATAAATTAGATCGCGAACTATCGGCTGCGCGCTCGCTTCATCTCACACTTCCGTCCGTCGGTCGGTTGCATAACATAGATTTCTGATTCTAGAGAACAATCGATTCGATATAGATATCGTTAATACCATTTTCTGTTCTGGTCAATAAGTTCGCGGAATGGAGGGGTTGGAGAATGGATGGACGTTTACTCGTCCAGGTAGGCACTAGTTGAGCACCTCATTAACAGTATATATACCAAGTTTGAACCTAATCGGGTCATTAACTTTTGAGTTATCGACCTGCAAACAACTGAATCGGGAAGAAGTCAGCCAGTATGGAGAAAATTAAACACCGCGCCGTTAAGTTCCTTACCAAGCAAGGAAAATCCGCTCAGATTATTTTTCATGAGCTGTTGGCGGTTTACGCGGCCTCTGCCCCTGGTAAAACCATGGTTTACAAGTGGCATGACTTTTCAAACAAGGAAGAGAGTCCATTGAAGACGACCCCCGCTCCGGACGGCCAATTGAAGCAACGACATCGGAAATCGTCGAAAAAGTAGAAAAACTTGTATTGGAAGATGCCCGGTTGAAGAAGCAGCTTGCAGCTATGATTGGAGTATGCGAAATAAGTATTTTGAATATTCTACATCATCATCTTGGGATAACTAAGGTCGGTGCAAGATGGGTTCCGAGAATGCTCACGCTACTTCAAAAACGCGAGCGTGTCGAGTGTTCTCGCCAGATTTTAGAGCTCTGTGGAGAGAGAAAGGAAGAAGTTATGGCCCAAATCGTTACTGGTGGTGAAACCTGGGTTCACCACTATGAACCTGAGTCAAAGCAAGAGTCGATGCAGTGGCATAAAAAAGGCACACCTTCACCAAAGAAGTTCAAAGTGACACAATCGACTCGCAAGATTATGGCGACTGTCTCTTGGGATACAGAAGGTATTTTACTGATCGATTATAAAGAACGTGGTGTGACTATAACGGCACAGCACTACGCTTCTTTATTGGAAAGATTGAAAGAAGACATCAAGGAAAAAAGATAAGGAAAGCTGTCAAAAGGTGTGCTCCTTCTGCACGACAATGCACCCGTTCACACGTGCTATGTTACGACGCCTGCCTTTCACTGAAGCGGTGAATTGAACGACCCACCCTACAGACTACAGTTTTTTTTAGTTAGTGCTAAGTAAGAATAGTTTGGTTATTAATTTCAACCTTCTTCCCTCTTATTCCGCAAACTTTTTGACCTTCTCTCGCATGTCACACGAGTAAAGAAGGCACTCATGCAAAGCTTTATACGCATGTGTGAGTGAGCACTGGCGGCCTGTCGCAGCCAATAGAAATGTTTACGCGCGCATAAGTCGCGGCACGAAACTCTAGCCCGGACCGTTATTGCGCGTGCGTACAAATGAAGACGTGTTGGGGGGGAAACGAGGTGCGGGGGGGGGGGAGGCGTTGCGACGATCGTCTTTCCAGTCGGACCCCCCCCCCCCAGCGTGAAGCTTAGCGCTAGTTACGTGCTGCGACTTGGACACCACAGGAGGCCAGCGAAAGAAGCTTCATTGTTCGGGATGTACCAAAACTAAGATACTGATAAAATGATAAACTTGATAATAAAGTATATTTTGGTAACTAAACACTAATTAAAACAATACTAATCGATATAAAAATGATTGTTATAAGTACGCGCACGGCTTACTCGATAGCTAATTGCGAACTAAGTTGTAAGTAATTGGCGATTATTGAATAGTAATAAAATAAGGTGAATAGGGGTGATGACGGGGTACAGTAAACGAAATTCTATTTAGTGCGTCAGTTGGATGATCAAAAAATAATGGACACGTATTTTTTATTTGGGCAATGAACCAAAAAATGACAAAGTTATAGCGCGACAAAGTTTGGGAGTGGGGGCTCGTGACGTCACTTTTGAGAGAATTTTACCTCATAAGTGTACTCAAACGTGACGTCATGCGACTTTTCAAATCGATATATCTCTGCAATGTTTATATTATGTGAAAAAAGAAAAAATACGCGTCCAATACTTTTTGATAATCTACCTGATAAACGAATAAATAAATACTTTTGATATTATACATATGAATACTTATAACTGTTACTTTATTAAAAAAAATAAAGATGTGGTTTTTGGTTCTACTACACCAATGGTCAAGAGATGGCGCTGTAGTCTCCTGAATCGCGCTTCGGTTCCGTTGTTCCAGATTAATAAATACTTTTGATAGGCCTTCACAATGCAGTCGTTAGCACCCACTAAATAGAGATTCTATTTCTATTTTGTTGGTAGATTTTCTTAATGTGCGGTAAACACAAAAGTATTTGTGTTACAGTGATGCGCGCGCATCTTAAAATTTCACTCTCATCGTTTTTTCATAACGCGCCTAAAGAAGTATAACTTCAAAAAAAATTAGTCATCATCCCTATTAATAAAACGATGAGCCGGCGAAACGTACGCAGCTCGCTCGCAGTCATATTTAGGTTAGATCGCGGTGGACAGGAGGTAGGTCGCGGGCGGGCCTTCCTTCCGCCTATGGCGTATTGCGTATTGGTCGTTCGCGTGAGGTAAGAGTGGAGAGTATATGGCAGTCCCCTTAGAGTCGGCACGCGAGGGCGAGCTGCGCGCCGCGCTGGAGCCCGAGCCGGCGCGGGCGCGCGCCTACGACCTGCGCGACCCCGCGCACTTCCCGCCCATGCCGGCGCATGCGCAACACTAACGGTGGCCGCGACACCGGGACCCCGCATCGACCGACAACAAACATACGCAAAACGTGCAAAAACGCCGCCAGCGCCCTATAAAAATACGAAAAACTGTAAATCTAATGAAAAAAATGTGATGATGTAAAGATTTTAGCTCCCGTTGGAAGGTCGCGCGAGCGCGTTCCACCGCGCCTGTATCTCTATACTTACCGGTACCCTTAGTATGAGTTTGAACTCGCGAAAACTATCATAGTTTTCGTAATTGTAAATTATGTGTCTATGGGCATTTTGGTGAAGAGTAACCGAATATACTTAAAATTTAACAAGACGGAAATGTGTTAACGATAGAATTAAAACACTGTTTATTTGTATTGAAACGAAAACAATAAAATCAGTACGCTTAGCACGAGTGGGAGCTCACGAAAACTATCATAGTTTTCCTAATTGTAAAACTCTTACTAAGGGTACAGTACTGAAATTCAATCGTACAGTTTTCTGTTGACGTTAATTTTACGATCGTTTTTATCGCGTGTGCGATTCAGTTATTTCATCTCCGCGTTTGAGGGTTTGATGGAACGCGCGCGCGCCCCGCGGGGCCCGGCCTGGAGCCCGGAGCCCTGTGTACATACTTTGTAAACTATAGAAGCTTGTATTATAATTTTAGCAGAGGGGCACCGCGCTGCGACTGAATATACGAATGTATTTCATTCATTAAGCTGTCGACTCCGACTCTGACCGGACCTTCAAATTAAAAGGTGTCTTTTCTCCATTGCGCTTTAAAACTTTCCCTTTGCTGTTTAGACGATTAAAACGTGCACTTTAATAAAGGTTATCGTACTTTTCATATCCCAACGTTTTGATCAAAATACACCAATTGTGGCTAAGAGACGACTGATGCATTGCTGTTACGTCTTTTCGCCATTAATGCAAAACTAAAATCGGCATTGATTGTATGAGCGCCTGAAATGCGCAGCACGTGTGCCCCCTCAAGATGCGCGCAACTTTCGTATTGTTTTATCTAACAATTGTAATCCCATACGTGTTACAGTCGCTTCTGCGCGTGCGCATCCGTTGCGCAAGGTTTCGTCGATGATCTCGTTCCCCTTCACACCTAATCACGACGAAGCGATGGTGCCATTCGTTTCGATTGTATTAAAATATGTCACATTTTTAATACAGTTGAAAATTATTGTGATATTATTTTTTATAAAAATAGTTTACACGACGAAACCTATAATGAATTGAAGATAAAGCAATACGCATGAGTGCGTTCAGGCGACCACGCCCGCCTCCCGTCACGAGACCTGTCCGTACTTCAATATATTGACACATCCTCCGTTTTTAACACGTGTAAACGTATGATACGCATATTATAAAATGTCATGGCAGACCTGATAATAAACGTGGAGGCCACTCGGTGACGCGACGCGGGCTCGGCTGCATTATGCATTGTGATAGTTGGTTAAGATCGATAGTATGCATCTGTACAATGTGTGCGAGTAATGTTTATGTAATATGTATATAATGTTAACGCCGCCGTCCGCACGGCCGCGCTATCCGTTCAAACTCCTGCGATATGATCGTTGTCAAACCTGTATCTTACTATGTGCAAAAAAAATACTTTCAGACAGCTATTAGTATTCGGTGGTATAATATTCGGGCTGATGCTCATAGAATCTTTATCAAGCAATTTCTGGTCACCGTTCTGATGCTAAAGACCCTAATAGATCGCTCTCAACTCGGAGACCGAGATCTCGAAGACACTGTTTTCATACAAAACAGCATCTCAAGATCGCTCTCAGAGTTGAGAGCGATTACAGGCCTAAGATTCGAATAACTCTAAATAAGATTAACCGAATTTTCGAGTACGGAGACTTTTGTTTTTGTATTGGAAAATTTGATTAGTATACTAGTCATAATTATCGAAATATCCATAAGGTACACCTAGCTACCTAGATATGGATTTGACAAGGACGATATGGTTGAATGTGATCGGATGGTATTGGATTCAGTGCGGAGGCGGCGCCCTCACTCAGTATGACGCGCGCAGTGCACTAGCACTCCCCCCCCCCCCCCACTCCGCCCCGTCGCTAACTACGCTGTTACATTTATTTTCCGACTTTTCGCTAGTATATTCCTAACAAACCTTGAGTATTCTATTAGGAGTTTCATAAGTTGACGTAATGTAATAATATTCCGGGGCGGAATTAGCGGCAGCTTCGCGTTGTACCTGATCCAGAATCCGGACCGCTAAAATTTACGAGTGTCTTACGGTTAGAAGTAATGTTTCTTGACAATGTGTAGGTAGTTAATGTTGACCCGTTTTCGAACGCGAGATATTTCGAGATAAATGTGTATCTCATTGATCTCGTCGGACTATTGAAAGGTAACAATCAAAATATCAAATAGTTTGTAAATTATGTTTTAACGATGGACATAGAAAATCATTATTGTAATGTAAACGAATAATATTGATGACATTGTATTGAGGTAATTAAACGTGCTACCGTTGGTTTAGGCTCATTCTTGTGTTTCATTTACGCGCGAGCCGCGCCCCCGCCGCAGCCGCTACATACTAAATTGTATATAATTATAATAAATATTTTTACAAAACCCAAGCAGATGTTTTATTTTAGTAAATAAAAGACTGTGATATAAGGAAGTAGTTTATTCGTAAGGTCAGGTGGTTGCGGACCACAGCCATTACATAATATTTACAATAACGCCTTCTGTCAAACGTCACGACAGCAAAGTATCGACAAGTCGACATATCCCCGAACAACGAGCTGTACTGTTAGCACGTACCAATATCGAATTTGAATGTGTCCAAGGGCCGATATATGGGTCCGGAAGTGAAGTTGAATTCGATTTCTAAACATTAAATGTCAAAAAGAGAATTAAAATCCTTCCATACAAAACTTTTTAACATTTGACACATATCGAGATCAAATTCGATATTGGTTACTGCTAAGGGTACTGAACAAGCCCAACGAATTGCAAAAGTAATAACGTTATTTAATTGTTTCAGTGTAGCCGCCGTACTCGGAATTCATTCAATAAATGAACTCTCGTGTTTTCTCATTCTATTGTAATCGCAAATAAAGTTACATCATTAACTTCCGATATTTCTCTGAGCAAGCCTTTGGGGCTGATTTTTCAAGCTATGGTAATATCTTATACCGTATGAAACTGACGAGATGATGATCCTTTTTGGTTTAATAATTATTCAATGGACAAGAAATCTGCAAAAATTTCCCGCTGTAATCGCTTGACCCAAAACTTCTATCAAATACATACCTATTAGCTTATATTAATTTAAAAACTTTTTATTAAACAAATTACAAATGCCGCGTTGTGCCATTCCTGGTTGTTGTGAGAAAACTGCATGCTTCCCGACTAAAATATAATTTATATATTCAAAGCAACATATTGAAGGGGGAGGGGGGGGATTGAGCTGCTGTTTACACCATGGTATGTATCTGGGACAGGTAATTGCATCTGGATGTCTTCATTTTGATCAGAAAAAACTGCACCAAAATTAAAATTGCGGTCATATGCCTCAAGTCTAAAAAAACCCAATGTTAAACTTCTCATTTTAGCCAGACGTAACCTAACTCTATGGGTTGCCTGACTGATGCAAAAATAAGATAGATTTGACTAATGAGCTCGCTAAAAGTTACTGAGATCCATAAACTATTAAAATAATCATGAAAAATGCATCTATGTACCGAGAATGAGTATTCTAGCATAATAATAGAAGGAGTGCCTTTCTACTAGATCAGCTTTTCTGCCTTGCACAGATGCTCCTCTCCTTTTCAACTCTGTTTTCAGCTGTATTACAGGCCATGCTGAATAAACTTTTACCACTTATTTTAAAAAAAACACGTTTAATATTTGACAGCTGCAATATTCGGCTGTGGTTTGGGTCAAGTGTTTGCAGCGCCATCTATGTAGAGCTTTGCGTATACTTCTCCATAGACTGATACTTTTTTTCCAAGTATCGCAATACCTTAATAAAGAGTGTTCAGTACGTAAACGAGATGGTGAGTCATTTCTATAACTTTGTTCTAAAGTCGTTCATAACTTGTGATACTTTACTGGTCTTAACAACAGCCTTATTCTCAAACAATACTTATTTTAAAATCTTAATTAAAAAAATCGTATAGAAATCCAGTTTCTGATTGTTTGTAAATAAGGCTGCGCTATATACAAAAACATTCCATATTACTAACCCTGCTGTAATAGGGGCATATTGCATAATGAAAGGGCATTTTTAAAACAATGTAAACATTTGATAATTCCGATTCTATATTAACATTAAGCAAACTTATTTTCTTTAAAGGAGATATTTTTAATATAAATTAATCGTGTTTAAAAGCCGGCGAACGGTAGTCAAATAATTATGGTTTCGACATTCAATAAATACTTACTTCATCCTCGTGTTATTGCAACGCAACTGATTACAAAATATTTGCGCCTCGATAGGACGCGCATCTTTACAAAAGTATATACAACTTATTGAATCCTCATTATAAGATTGTAATCCAATTTTCGAGATCATAAACGAACAGGACATTAGTTTGGACCCGTTCGAGTGATTCCAATCTTATCGTCAACCAATGGGCTCGCCTATGACAAAGTCATTACAAACACAAAAGACAACAGAATAGTCAAAATGCCACGACCGCCTGCGGTGCGACACGCGGACGCTCACAAACTGCATCACGATAAAACATTGAAGTATAAAAACAAATACTCACAGTCGCGCTCAAAAAGTATCGGAAGCAAAATTACACACATTCGTCTATTGTGTGTAATTTTCAAACGGACGTGTATATATAATATATATATAAGTTGATGTAGAACGCCGCTCTGACGTTTTTTGATACACTTTTGTTACGCGATCGGGAGTCTACTTGTTTTTATATGTCAACGCAATAAAATTATATTATTTTATACAGCGACATCTGTCGGCAATAGTTAACATTATAGTGATATTTCCCATATTTGTTTTAGGCCCACTTGCACCAGAATTGAATTTTGAAAATGAGCATTCATCATGATTAGCTTTTGAGCTAAACGCTCATTTTCCCACTATTTGACTTTATATAAAATTGACAAAAGGTGGAATGATGTGTTAAAGAGAATTAAGCCATAATTTTAATTAAGAATGTTAGTGCAAATGGCCCTCATTTATTAATAAACTCAACGACAGTGTTACTAAAGGATCGCTCAATCCATCCACCTAGGTGGGTGATTAAAAATGTTACTCCTATGAGACCAACTCTTTAATCAGATAAGACCTCCTAGACATCCGTCAGAATTTTGGAATCATTCGATGGTGTGAATGATCGGTAAAATCAAGGTGGTCGTTAGTTCAAAAATTTCTAGGTTAGATTATTAGATTAGTAGGTGGTCTGAATCTATTAAATGAATGGCGGTTTGATAGGAATGACATTCTTAAATGATTGGGTTAGTAACAAAGGTGTTGTTATGGTCAATTCATACTAACGCAGAGTCTGAGTGCACCGAAGCGAATTATAGCAACAGTAACATAGCAAAATCACCCGTATCTCCGCGACCATTACGTTGCGGAGAAAATAATGAATTTGCTTTGTTACGTTCTAGAATTCGATTCGATGCGCTAGTGTGAATTGACCGTTGCACGCCATAAATTCCTTGCTTGCTAGATTGGCAAGCCATGCAATGGTATGTTTCTCTAAACTTAAAATTAATTTTGATGTCAGAGTATCCTTGTCATTCTCTATATAGAACGGAAAGGATAAAAATGTTAATTTCAGTTTAGAGAATCATGCAAGAATCGATACCTATGACAACTTAAGGATGCCTCATTTACCATTGGTTGCGCTGTTTGTCCAGAAACAATGGTGACTATGATTACTTACTAATACATCACGCATACGTACCAATCATAAATTCGACGGGTTCTTTCATTACGTTGGAACTCAGACACCCAAGCACGAATTTCGGCAGCTCCGTAATGGTATCGCATCGTCAAAGGCGTAAGAACGAAACGAAAACGAAAGAAGTTGTAAAAACAAACTAGCTTTTTGTAAACAAAATTTGTCGATGATGATACGATTACAAAGCTGTCATTATTAGTGTTTGGGCCTCAATACGTGCAGTAGTTCTAGTTCCGACCGATGAGAGAGTCCGCCGATAACAATGTCCTAGCACCAATATACGACGATCCGCTTCGAAATATAGACCCCCCCCCCCCCCCTCCCTCCCTTCCTACTGACACCGCGTACGAGAGCGCCCGCTTGATCCAAGCTTATGCAGTAATACTGCATAAGCGTGAAATGTTGCGACACAAGTTGCAACCAACGAATTAGAAATTATATGCAAGTATTGCTCTCTAACAAAACTCGTACAACTAAACTTCAATGCTAACGCGACACGCAGGCAGACAAAACAAAATACTTTGACGAATCAAATGAATTCAGCTATCCATTCATTGGGTAAGACAATGATTAACGGAAATCCCAACCAATACCACGACCGGCGCGTTTTCGCCCCGCATTGCCTTTCGTGGAACCACTTTTTGGCGCAGTTCATTTTCCATATTATTTTTAATTCGTTGTTTGCAACTTAATTGGTCACCGTGAAGACACCAACGTGTCCAATCAAAACGCGGCTTATTCTCCCCATACGCCACCAACTTTAACGATTTCTAACAAAAAATGAGTAATGCAGACTCTGATGGGGGTGTTAGCGCCCTCTACAGGCGAGGAGTGGATATATTTGAGGCGGATCGCCGCACGCGGCCGAAGAACGTACAAAATGACGTAAATCTACATTCAGTACACACGCGACCTCTCGCACGCACGTTGTATCAAAAGTGGATCCTATCCCGACTCCTCCCCCCGGCGGGGGACAATTTACATAGCGTTGTTCCTGAAACAATGACACAATTATCGTTTAGGTATAGGAAGCGGCTAATATCTTTTTTGTCACCATAAAGGCGATATTGTTTTTGTCACCGCTTATGTAAATTGTACCAATTTACTATAATATAATAATATAAATAATATTATTATTATTTTTTTTAAGCATTTAACTGCTAGATGCCTTGCAGCTTAAGGCTAGGAAAATTTCGACACGGCTAATAGGGCCGTGGTAGCATAATGGTCAGTGCATTCGCCCGGATAGCGAAGGATGCGGGTTCGAGTCCTGTCCGCTGCCTGGTCCGTGTGGATTTTTTTTCTAGTAAACTTTTCTTTAGATAAAAACAATGTTGCTAATTATAGACCAATCTCAATCTTATCAGTTATACCAAAAATATTTGAAGCGCTAATATATCCACATCTTTACGCCCAAATAAAACATCTTATTACTGATCGCCAGCATGGATTCTTGAGATCTAGGTCTACCAGCAAAAATCTCATCGCTTTCACTAATCAAAAATTCAAAATCGTTTATTCAGTCTAGGCTGTTACAAGCACTTGTGAATGTCGAAAAGCTACGCCATCGGTTCGCAAATCTACGACGGGAGACCTTGTACTGCGAAGAACCGGCAAGAAACTCAGCAAGGGCTGTTTTTTTCTCCCTGTATTATATACAGAGTCGTCAAATTGAAAAATGACTTCAATATGAGGTAACTCATAAAGTCACTTTTCATTACAAACAAAAAAAATGCAAATAATATAAAAATTATGACTATAAAATAAAAAATAAAAATATGTAAAAAAAAATGTTTTAACAAAGTTTAGGAATGATGTGTCCTACCGTTTAGGCAAAAATAATAATAATAATAATGAACGATTAAAGTTTAGAACAACAATTAATAGTACCCAGTGAACTAAGAGCAGACTCATCTACGCTGGCAGCACCCGTTCACGAGCATGACGCATGAACCAGCCATCGCTTCGCTCAACCATTTTTTAGGGAACGCAACGACCCGCCTCACACGACACCACAGATTTTTAAGAGAGCATGACTACTCATAACCACACATGGATACTATGTTACAAAAATAGAAAAAAAATTATATATAGGTACCAGTGTACATTATTATAACAAACTATAAACACAACGGCAGGACACATACATGTGATTACCTAAACACTGTTGTCGACTCCGGCAATACTCTCCCAACCCAAAACCAAATCCAACATCAGTCCCCCCTTTTCAGTCTGTATAGAGAATGACAAGGATACACCGCTGCAAAACCAAGTTCAGGTCTAGAAAAACATACCAGAATCCACACCGCCATTAAATCTTTATCAGAGAAATAATAAATGTTCACTTACATTTTGATTGCTGTGTCATACAGTATAAATACAAGTTGTGTAATGTAAAATACAATCTAAATTTAATAATAATTATCATTACAATAATAAAGTAGTATAGAGCAGACTCATCTCCGCTGGCAGCACCCGTTCACGAGCATGACGCATGAACCAGCCATCGCTTCGCTCAACCATATTTTAGGGAACGCAACGACCCGCCTCACACGACACCGCCGAAGAGATTTTTAAGAGAGCATGACTACCCATAACCACTAAAACCAATCTGCAAAATAGTTACTTAGAGTTAAGGTAATTTATCTGTACGACACTGCAAACAAATACAAAACAATTTTGCAGTTACAGCCATGCAGTTTTGTCATTCAAGTATTCTTTAATAGTATTATAGCCTTTCTTAACTAAACAACTTTTAATGTGACATTTGAACTCATTTATGGGTAACTCAAGAACAGCATCAGGAATTTTATTGTAAAAATGTATACCTTGACCCATAAAAGATCGGTAAAGCTTCTGTAACCTGTAGGCTGGCAATGCAAGCTTGTTTCTATTCCTAGTGTTAAAATTGTGCACGTTACTGTGTTTGGTATACAAATTGATATTATTTTTAACGAGGAGTATGCAATTGTAAATGAATTGAGAAGCAACAGTCAAAATGCCAATTTAAAAAAATAAAATAAATCTCATTGTTAACAATATGGACTCCCAGTTGCAAAGCGATGCTGTCTATGCTGACTTTTCCAAGGCATTTGACAAAGTTTGTCACAAAATATTAGTAAACAAGCTCTCAAAATATGGATTCACCGGTTCTTTATTGATGTGGTTGCATACATATTTAACTAATCGTTCTCAATACGTGGTTGTAAAGGGTTTCCGTTCAGATCAATATTTATCCACATCAGGTATACCTCAGGGTTCTCATATAGGACCATTGTTTTTCAATGTTTTCATTAATGACGTTGTAGATGTAATTAAGCACAGTGATGTATTTTTATATGCAGATGATCTTTAACTAATAAAAGTTATTCACTGTGATGAGGACGCTAAACTCCTACAATCGGACATTGATAGATTAGTGGAATGGTGCAAGATAAATGAAATGTCTCTCAATATTAATAAATGTTATCATATAAAGTTATCCCGCAAGTCTCACAATTTTGAGTCACAATATAAAGTAAGTGATGCTGTGTTAGAGGAGGTAAATACTATTCGAGATCTGGGTGTAATAATAGATTCTAAATTAACATTTACTCCACATATAGATAACATTATTACTCGAGCCTCAAAAACTCTAGGATTCATTATGAGAAATGTCAAAGTATTCAAAATCCCTCAACAAAGATCTTGATTTATAACAGCTTTGTTAGAAGCACCCTAGAGTACTGTTCAGTTATTTGGTCTCCTCAGTACAGTATACATCAGCTTCGTATTGAACGCATTCAGAAACGCTTTACTAGACATCTCACATTAAGTAGTAGGCTGAATACAAAATCTACCAACTACAGCCAAAGACTTCAGTATTTTAATATGGACAGTCTTCTCACTAGGAGAAATATTTTGGACATCACATTTTTATTTAAAGTTGTCAGAAATGTAGTTGATTGCCCACAATTTCTCAGTAAGATAAATATTAGAGTTCCCCGTAAACCACCACGCTATCCTGTACCAACATTCAGCAAACCAATCGCTCGCACAAATATATTAACACACTCTGCATCATATCGCTTGCCCGAAGCTTACAACAAACTAAGTGAGAGTGTTGATATCTTCCATGACTCTTTTCTACGATTCACGACTAAAGTTTCAGAGTTATTAAGAGATGCGTAGGCAAACTTTATTGAAGTTATACTTCTTTAGGCGCGTTATGAAAAAATGATGAGAGTGAAATTTATAGATGCGCGCGCATCACTGTAACCCAAAAGTAACAGCATGAAGTTGGCCGCGGTCGCGTTATGAAAAAATCATGTGAGTGAAATTTCGAGATGCGCGCGCATCACTGTAACACAATAGTAACACCATGAAGTTGGCCGCGGGCGCGTTATGAATGTTAGTGTCATCTGTTCGAAAGGTACTTTGAACGATCCACGGAGCTCCATAAGATGATCGCGTTGTCAAAAACAATGTTGGCACGCTCGTCGCCTCTGATCACTGTTTTCATATTTATAATATTTATCCACATGTTTCTAGTTTCTATATAGACACAACGTGTTTTAGTTACTTACAAGTGCTAATTACATATGGACTAATAACTTAAATTCAGTAGTGATTTTAATTGAATATTTTGAATATTTATTTAATTTTTCAAATTAAAACTGAACTTAATTGACTGTGTTAACTATCCTTTTCCAGTCCTTTTATTATTTTATTGTAATTATTAATTATTTGCATGCAATTAAAAAATATTTTTAATGATGCTAAAGAAGTATAACTTCTCACGCGCGTACATAAGTTACACGCATCCATTTTTTTTTTATTTTTGTCGTTAAATTTGTTATATCGAGTAATTATATATATTCGTTTTCTATTATCTATAGTTTCAAAGCCACTAATAGTTCATAAACTTCATTATTTACATGTGGTTTCAGTTTGTGTTTCTGTTTGTTTATTTAATTAAAATTCGGTCCGTTCGTACTGTCTCTTAAGCATGATGTGGCTACCTTCAATAGAATTTTGCATTTTGTATGTATCACTATAATGTTTAAAAATAAGATTTAATGTAACTTTCCCTGGTGGTCCTAATAAATAAATAAATAAATATCTCGGGTAGAACCATAGACAAACTTGCGCAGTACATGTTTTTGTATGTAAAATTGGTAATGCGCGGCTTATGGTCAAAATGTTTGCCGGGGTATATATCCCAGAACCTTTTGAGTTAATACTCTCAATTATGCCTATCAAATTACAAATTTAATATTATAAATGCGAAAGTTTGGTTATGTAAAACTGAATCACGCAAAAACTATATGCGCCCAAGTTTTGATTTCTGGTACAGTTACAATAAAAGTAACAAACTTGTGATTGTTACTTTTAGTGATTGTGATGTGATTTTGGTGATTGTGATACCACAAATGTCATAAGAAGCGACATCTGAGAACCTTACCAATGTATTTCCCCCTTATAACACGATGAGTCTGCTCTATACTGCACTACTATTGAGATGTTATCTCTTATAGATAATATTGAATGATTAATTTAATACGTAATGGAACACTGTTTGTATTTATACTGCATGACACGGCAATCAAAATGTGAGTGGACGGTGTATTGTTATTATATTATTGGTAGTAACATGTTTTTTTTGGTAATTATTACTTCTACTTTTGTTAAATGCTGATGAGTTTCTTCCGCCCATTCTTCTCATCAGCTAAAAGATGTCTTGAACGTGTGGTAGGAAAAAATATTGGACGATTCAAAAGAGCTTTCAATAAGTCAATATTTATAAGAGATAATCACTCGTAAAAACTAGCCAAGTCTCGATGGAGCTGCTTGTTTATCTCTAAGAGTCGTCGACCCACCAAGTCGGCACGAGGCCCGCGTGGGGAGTGGCTTTCCAATCTCCTTATTCCATCCATAGGGTAGGCCTGGGTCTAAACAGGGGGGACATGAGTAGGTTAATGATGATATGAATATATTGATACATTACCTGGGCATGGCGCACATGTCGCAGGCGTGGTGGTGTGCCGCGTTGTGGAACGTGCACAGCGGACACGTCCACACCGCGCCCCCAGACCCCGACCCCGGGCCCGATCCGACCCCCGGCCCCGACCCTGGGCCCGACCCCGGGCCCGACTCCGATGTGCCGCCTCCGCTCATGGAACTGAAATATTACCATGCCTTATGAGTTCATCACACTAGATATCGAACAAAATTTTGTTAAATTTTTACGTTCAGATGGCTCGCTAACACCCGCTTGCAGAAAATTTGCTAAATACCGATTCAACTACAAATAGAAAAGAAAAATGTCGAAACGACAATTTAAGTTAGTAAGTTTGTGTGTGTGTGTGTGTGCGTGCGTGCGTTTTTGCGTGCATGCATGCGTGCGTGCGTGTGTGTGTGTGTGTGTGGATACCTGTGCGTGTGGTGCTGATGGTGCTCGTCATCAGCCGCAGCGGCCGCCAGCTGGAACAGCGTGGCAGGGTCGGGCAGGGAGCGTGTGTGTGTGTGTGTGTGTGTGTGTGTGTGTGTGGATACCTGTGCGTGTGGTGCTGATGGTGCTCGTCATCAGCCGCAGCGGCCGCCAGCTGGAACAGCGTGGCAGGGTCGGGCAGGGAGCGTGTGTGTGTGTGTGTGTGTGTGTGTGTGTGTGTGTGTGTGGATACCTGTGCGTGTGGTGCTGATGGTGCTCGTCATCAGCCGCAGCGGCCGCCAGCTGGAACAGCGTGGCAGGGTCGGGCAGGGAGCGTGTGTGTGTGTGTGTGTGTGTGTGTGTGTGTGCTGATGGTGCTCGTCATCAGCCGCAGCGGCCGCCAGCTGGAACAGCGTGGCAGGGTCGGGCAGGGAGCGTGTGTGTGTGTGTGTGTATACATCATATATACCTGTGCGTGTGGTGCTGATGGTGCTCGTCATCAGCCGCAGCGGCCGCCAGCTGGAACAGCGTGGCAGGGTCGGGCAGGGAGCGTGTGTGTGTGTGTGTGTGTGTGTGTGTGTGTGTGTGTGTGTGTGTGGATACCTGTGCGTGTGGTGCTGATGGTGCTCGTCATCAGCCGCAGCGGCCGCCAGCTGGAACAGCGTGGCAGGGTCGGGCAGGGAGCGTGTGTGTGTGTGTGTGTATGTGTGTGTGTGTGTGTGGATACCTGTGCGTGTGGTGCTGATGGTGCTCGTCATCAGCCGCAGCGGCCGCCAGCTGGAACAGCGTGGCAGGGTCGGGCAGGGAGCGTGTGTGTGTGTGTGTGTATGTGTGTGTGTGTGTGTGGATACCTGTGCGTGTGGTGCTGATGGTGCTCGTCATCAGCCGCAGCGGCCGCCAGCTGGAACAGCGTGGCAGGGTCGGGCAGGGAGCGTGTGTGTGTGTGTGTGTGTGTGTATGTGTGTGTGTGTGTGTGGATACCTGTGCGTGTGGTGCTGATGGTGCTCGTCATCAGCCGCAGCGGCCGCCAGCTGGAACAGCGTGGCAGGGTCGGGCAGGGAGCGTGTGTGTGTGTGTGTGTGTGTGTGTGTGTGTGTGTGGATACCTGTGCGTGTGGTGCTGATGGTGCTCGTCATCAGCCGCAGCGGCCGCCAGCTGGAACAGCGTGGCAGGGTCGGGCAGGGAGCGTGTGTGTGTGTGTATGTGTGTGTGTGTGTGTGGATACCTGTGCGTGTGGTGCTGATGGTGCTCGTCATCAGCCGCAGCGGCCGCCAGCTGGAACAGCGTGGCAGGGTCGGGCAGGGAGCGTGTGTGTGTGTGTGTGTGTGTATGTGTGTGTGTGTGTGTGGATACCTGTGCGTGTGGTGCTGATGGTGCTCGTCATCAGCCGCAGCGGCCGCCAGCTGGAACAGCGTGGCAGGGTCGGGCAGGGAGCGTGTGTGTGTGTGTATGTGTGTGTGTGTGTGTGGATACCTGTGCGTGTGGTGCTGATGGTGCTCGTCATCGGCCGCAGCGGCCGCCAGCTGGAACAGCGTGGCAGGGTCGGGCAGGGAGCGTGTGTGTGTGTGTATGTGTGTGTGTGTGTGTGGATACCTGTGCGTGTGGTGCTGATGGTGCTCGTCATCGGCCGCAGCGGCCGCCAGCTGGAACAGCGTGGCAGGGTCGGGCAGGGAGCGTGTGTGTGTGTGTATGTGTGTGTGTGTGTGTGGATACCTGTGCGTGTGGTGCTGATGGTGCTCGTCATCAGCCGCAGCGGCCGCCAGCTGGAACAGCGTGGCAGGGTCGGGCAGGGAGCGTGTGTGTGTGTGTATGTGTGTGTGTGTGTGTGGATACCTGTGCGTGTGGTGCTGATGGTGCTCGTCATCGGCCGCAGCGGCCGCCAGCTGGAACAGCGTGGCAGGGTCGGGCAGGGAGCGTGTGTGTGTGTGTATGTGTGTGTGTGTGTGTGGATACCTGTGCGTGTGGTGCTGATGGTGCTCGTCATCAGCCGCAGCGGCCGCCAGCTGGAACAGCGTGGCAGGGTCGGGCAGGGAGCGTGTGTGTGTGTGTGTGTATGTGTGTGTGTGTGTGTGGATACCTGTGCGTGTGGTGCTGATGGTGCTCGTCATCAGCCGCAGCGGCCGCCAGCTGGAACAGCGTGGCAGGGTCGGGCAGGGAGCGTGTGTGTGTGTGTGTGTGTGTATGTGTGTGTGTGTGTGTGGATACCTGTGCGTGTGGTGCTGATGGTGCTCGTCATCAGCCGCAGCGGCCGCCAGCTGGAACAGCGTGGCAGGGTCGGGCAGGGAGCGTGTGTGTGTGTGTATGTGTGTGTGTGTGTGTGGATACCTGTGCGTGTGGTGCTGATGGTGCTCGTCATCGGCCGCAGCGGCCGCCAGCTGGAACAGCGTGGCAGGGTCGGGCAGGGAGCGTGTGTGTGTGTGTATGTGTGTGTGTGTGTGTGGATACCTGTGCGTGTGGTGCTGATGGTGCTCGTCATCGGCCGCAGCGGCCGCCAGCTGGAACAGCGTGGCAGGGTCGGGCAGGGAGCGTGTGTGTGTGTGTATGTGTGTGTGTGTGTGTGGATACCTGTGCGTGTGGTGCTGATGGTGCTCGTCATCGGCCGCAGCGGCCGCCAGCTGGAACAGCGTGGCAGGGTCGGGCAGGGAGCGTGTGTGTGTGTGTGTGTATGTGTGTGTGTGTGTGTGGATACCTGTGCGTGTGGTGCTGATGGTGCTCGTCATCAGCCGCAGCGGCCGCCAGCTGGAACAGCGTGGCAGGGTCGGGCAGGGAGCGCCACGCGAGCGCCGCCTGCAGGTCGCGCGCCTCCACGGCCCTCAGTAAGGGCTCCAGAGCCTCCAGAGATAAAGGCAGCGCCTCGTTCGACGCCAGGTACAGCAGCACGTGAAAGTCCGACATCGCCTACGCACAGAACACGATGCAAAGAATCTCAAACAGAATATAATACTTTACTAAATTCCAACGTCTTTATAACGAAATTAAAAACATTGAATGTTATTTTGCTCCCGTACACTTATAAACTCAACTTGCTGACCCGGCGAACTTCGTACCGCCCAAAAGTAATAATTTGCAATAAAATAGTACTGCAACCATAAATTGAAACATAAGCTATCCTATCTTTCAAGTTGGATCAAACTGCACACGGTGTGCAAATTTAACTAAAATCAGTTTAATAGTTTACGAAAACCACCCGGACAAACAACGTGATGCGCAATTTTTATATATTAAGTAGAAAGATAAACTCTGCGAACTTTTAATTGCAAAAGTTAGTCTGGAGTCAAGGCCGTCTCCCAACTATGTGAACTTCCTCAAACCGGTAGGGATAATTAGCTAGGAATTTAGACTTACGACTTTTATAAATAACAATTTGTTCAAATCTAAAGAAAATATAACTAGAAAAAATTCCACGCGGACCAGGCAGCAGACGGGACTCGAACCCGCACCCTTCGCAATCCGGGCGAATGCACTGACCAATTATGCTACCGCGGCCCTCACGGACCGCGTCGAAATTCCTTCTAGCTATTCTTACGCTGCAAGGCAGCGCCATCTCTTCGCATTATAGGTAAACCCACAATTGGTCAGTGCATTCGCCCGGATTGCGAAGGGTGCGGGTTCGAGTCCCGTCTGCTGCCTGGTCCGCGTGGAATTTTTTCTAGTTATATTTTCTTTAGATTTAAACATCAAGCAGTTACATGCTTTAAAAATAATAAAAATTATAACAATTTGTTCGTTCGTCTTGTACGCTCACGACGTAATCACCTTTTTTGCTTATCTCTGTTTTCCAACTAACGGCTTGCAGTTAGCAAAATACTTATATTTTGAATATAATGGTCAATCAATATAAAATAAGAAAATTTTGTCTGAGACCTAGCTGTCAAACTTTCTACGATCGTATTTTTGATGTGAAGGAATAAAGAATAATAAGAGAATCCTCTTTATCGTATTGCGGGCGAGCTGACTCCCGCCATCCGAAGTTACGCTGCCAAAGGATCTCCATAAGAGGCGAAGCCCTAGCAGAGCACTCGCAGGAAGCGTACGGCTGCAGACGAGGTGGTATACCCACCTGGAGGAAGTCCCCCGCGGCGCACACGTGCTCGTGCAGCGCCCGCAGCGTCTGCAGATGTAGCGCCAGGGGGCGGTGCGCGGGCGGGAAGGCGGCGCGCGGGTCGAAGCGCGTGCGCGTGGTGCTGGCGCCGGTGGCCACGCCGCAGGGAGGAAGTGTACGGCTGCAGACGAGGTAGTATACCCACCTGCAGGAAGTCCCCCGCGGCGCACACGTGCTCGTGCAGCGCCCGCAGCGTCTGCAGATGTAGCGCCAGGGGGCGGTGCGCGGGCGGGAAGGCGGCGCGCGGGTCGAAGCGCGTGCGCGTGGTGCTGGCGCCGGTGGCCACGCCGCAGGGAGGAAGTGTACGGCTGCAGACGAGGTGGTATACCCACCTGGAGGAAGTCCCCCGCGGCGCACACGTGCTCGTGCAGCGCCCGCAGCGTCTGCAGATGTAGCGCCAGGGGGCGGTGCGCGGGCGGGAAGGCGGCGCGCGGGTCGAAGCGCGTGCGCGTGGTGCTGGCGCCGGTGGCCACGCCGCAGGGAGGAAGTGTACGGCTGCAGACGAGGTGGTATACCCACCTGGAGGAAGTCCCCCGCGGCGCACACGTGCTCGTGCAGCGCCCGCAGCGTCTGCAGATGTAGCGCCAGGGGGCGGTGCGCGGGCGGGAAGGCGGCGCGCGGGTCGAAGCGCGTGCGCGTGGTGCTGGCGCCGGTGGCCACGCCGCAGGGCACGTCCACCAGCAGGTACGCCACGGGCACGCGCCGCGCGCTCGCGCCCACCTCGTTGCCGTACGCGTCCTTCTCCTGCGCGACAAGCACGAGCACCGACGGTTATATCGCTACCGCTACTACCGACGGAACGTCTTCCCTCGACTAAAGTTAAGCCCGACTCGAAAGTAAAGACAGTGTAACTTTTGAGTCGGGCTTGACTTTAGTCCAGTTTACTGAAAGGGAACCATGGAGACCCCGTCGCCTGGACCGAGGATTCCCTTAGCCGGCTGTCGAATGCGAACTTAATTCATTAAGGCTGTCCGACCGCTTTATTTCTTTCACACGTTTTTATCCATTGATCGCATTCTCTGTTCCTAAAGAGTTATCGATTTCTTGCAAGCGTTCAGTCCGTTCTCTTCGCCAATGGTTTAAAACAATACAAGTTTTAATACATTAGTCTTGTGATGAGAGGCTGTTATACTCCAGAAACGTTATTATACGAATTGGATTAGCAGAAGATAAACGTTAAGATACCTACAGATTTCTTCAACAGGCACTAAATTGACTGAACAAAATATTATTTTAGAGAAACGATAACACGGTAATATTATCTATACAGTATTCTATCTTCATACATACGGTCGAAAAAAGCGTGTCATACCTACGCCACTCGAGTTCGCGCGGCACCAGTCGGCATCCAGTCGCGAACGCGCCGCAGCGACGACCGAACGGTGTCAATTGTTTTTAATCAATTAGCCGTACTTAAACGTTTATATTGTGAATATTTGATTGAATTAAATAGATACCTACATAATTTAATATGGCAAAGACCAATAGTCGATATTGTGCTGTTTTTGGTTGCTTGAACTCTTCAATAATTAAACTTTTTAAACGAATGCGTATTTATTACACTATTCAATTTAATAATAAAGCTTTTCGTAGGCGTCAGTCAATGCGTAAATATTATTCTGTCTTAAATCTATATTTTTTATTAATATTACACTTAAAATAACATGTATTTTATGTAACACTTCCTGATTCATTCACATTTTTTTTACATATGAATTAAAATATTTACAATCACAAAACTAGAAAGAAACTTAATTATGTAGATGAAATTAAAATGCTGTAGGCGGGCAGCCCTACCGCGTGGATACGCCCCGCTCGGCCGTAGGCAGTTATTTCAAGGACAGGGCTGAGTCACAATACTGTATAGATAATATTACCGAGACAATAGTGTCGATCCAAGCATAATTCTCTAAATTAAAACTAAATTTAACATCATTCTCTCATTTTCATTCGGTATAGAGAATGACAAGGATACACCGTTGTCTTTCAGTTTAGGTTTAGAAAACCAAGCCAGAATCGACACCACTGACTTTTTGTCAAAACTGTGCATCAATTAAACTTACGACACATATTAGTATTCGAAGTCTGACTGACAGTATATGACACTTCCACCCGCCTAAAAGATGATGTCTAGAATAAAAACTATTTTATGTCCTTATCCGAAACTCAAATTATATCCATACCAAATTTTATCAAAATCAGTACAACGGCTTCAGCTTTAAGAAGGCGTAACAGACAAACAGACATACTTTCGCATTTATAATATAGATAAAATAAACAAAAAGTTTATTTTTGTTCAAAATAGGCAGTCCATAGGCAACATATGGTACTACAACTACAAGAAGGCATTATGTTAGGTATATCGGCACGCAAAACAATGTGATAATAAGATGAAGTAAACTGTAGCAATTGCTTCCATTAAAGTGAACGTAAACTGAGAGACATTAGGTATTTGAAAAAATTAATTGCTGTCGTGCTTTGGCAAATACCGTGCGATAAGGACAACACTTTTGAAAAATTTTCAGTGTAACTAACAATGAAAATTACGTATAAAAATCGCATAATTGGAGGTTTAGTTCTCGTCGATTTTCTCCTCGCAAATAAAATATACGTAATAAAAATATACCACAATAATAAGTAGTTATACTAGGCATCTATGGTTTGATTTTATTGTAATGTTATTGAATCTCCACATTAAAAGTCTTTAACGGAGACAATTTTATTTTTGAGGGATTCTAGTTTCGGCAAAAAGGAAGACACAGGTGCATAAAATGAGTAATATAGGTATCTCATGTATAAAAATCATTTATTAAGTGGTAAGAATCAAGAAGAAATCGGTCGAGAACGTTTGCATGGAAAAATCATTGTCCACCTCCCCTCTTGAATTTCAAGAGTGGTATAAACAGTAACAGGAACAACAAATAAACATCGATCACAATAAAATCCGGCGAGGGACGCCCGGAACGAGTCTCAAATTGCGGTGACCTTGACCCTCAGGCCCCGCCTCCCGCGAGCCCGTCCTCCGCGTGTACGGGGGACGACTCATCTCACGCGACGACACACTTTCTCAAACATAAAAAAATGTGTGCGTGTACTAGTGTACACACGTAAGAAGTGAAACTTCTTTATGGCCTTATTTTTCGAAAAATGATCTACATGCAACTTTCCAGAAATTGGTTAAATAAAGTTAAATTAGATAAAGTTTAAACAAAAGGATTTTATTATCATAGACATGAATACAAATTACTGCCTATGAAACTGTTATGATTACACGGCTCAGTAATCTAAGGCACATGTTCCACCTCCGACGATGAACGATAAGCGAGTAGAAACTAGAAACGAATTGGCAGTCCTGAGTTAAAATGCACGCGCACGGCTGTCAAAACAGCCAAGCCAGCTTAACCGAGCGAGTATAGCTGAGCGAGTATCGCTGAGCGTGTATCGCTATGCGAGTTTGGCTGAGCGAGTCTAATCTTTAATAACTATTGTCACTCAGCTACAAACGAGTAGAGAGAGTTCTCGCCGGCGACAGTGTGATCATTCAGCTATCAACTATTAATATAAAAAAAGATGGCGCGTAACGGAAAAATGTGACGGTAAATTTTTTTCCAACGCCGATAAAGAAGTTTCACTTCAAAAACCGGCCAAATGCGAGTCGGACTCGCGCACGAAGGGTTCCGTTCCGTTCCGTACTATTATCTATCTATACACCGTGTTCCTGAGGTTATACACTAATTTTGGCACGTTATTCAGACTATTAAATTGATCATTTTTTACTATGGACACTTTTATGAATTCAAATTCCTTTATTTTTTTTTATTTTCATGCAAACTATATGCTTAGATGTAATGTATCTAATATGAATTATTCTTTACCTGAGCTGGCAACGTCACATTTGAAACTTTGGTTCACATGTCCACATTAACTTTTTGAAACTTTTCTTGACGTCAAACAATTTTTTAAAATTTTGACTTTGTAAACTATGGCTTAAAGATCATTAACAAAGAGTTGATAGTTTGATAGTTTTGATTGCACAAAGTGGCAACATCTCACAGATAATCTCTAACTAATAACAATAACTCTTTCTCACTGCACAACACAATTAAGTTGGTTAAACTTATATTACCAATAACTTAAAAACTATGCTATTTAAACTACTACTTTCCTTGTACGATATTTTTAACAAGAGCTATAGAAGTATCATTCAAAGTTAATGTATATCCTCAGGAACACGGTGTATATATAAAACAAAGGTGACTGACTGACATAGTGATCTATCAACGCACAGCCCAAACCACTGGACGGATCGGGCTGAAATTTGGCATGCAGGTAGATGTTATGACGTAGGCATCCGCTAAGGAAGGATTTTGATCAATTCTACCCCCAAGGGGATTTAAAGTAGGGAATGAAAGTTTGTATGAAACTTTGTCAATTTTAAACCGATCGGGCTTAGACTTTGCATGCAGGTATAAGAAGAATAATAGATGAATTTCATTGTTTTTAATACAAGCCTGAGAACAAAAACTGTAGTCTACACTTCAGCTCTACACTGAAGCGAAGCGAGGGCGGGCCCCTGGTACAACATAAGAGTCTATATTTTTGTATGGGTGTTCCTCTTAAATATTTATTATTATACTGTTTCTAGTATTTGTTGTTATAGCGGCAACAGAAATACATCATCTGTGAAAATTTCATCTGTCTATCACAGATCATGAGATACGGCCTGGTAAGAGGCAGGCAGACTGTGGAGTCTTAGTAACAGGGTCGCACCCCGGAACCCTACATAATTAATATCTAAGTCTTTCTTTCTAATTAAAGAAGTAACTGACTAAAGGAGGAAGATACATTACATGTGTTTGCAGCCTATCAATTTATTGGTAGGACACACCCCAAGGTACATCTCTATTAATTAAAACATTCAAATGTTCGTAAACAAATGGGTCGGAACTAGGGTTACCATATCTCAGGATTTGTCCTGAGATTTCAGGATTTTTGGACTCTTCTCAGGATTGCGGCTGGATTTTGCAAATCTCATGAAATCTCAGGATTTTTTGAAATTTAATAAAAAGTTAGACAAACTAAAAATAATTGCAAAATTAAAATCAGTACTTTATTATCCAAGTTAATCTTAACTTAATCAGTTTTATCATACTTAATATGTGAAGATACATTTTTAAGTAAGGTTTTTTTCTTTAATTATGGATTCATATAATGCCCCACATGTTAAGTTCTATTAGTTAATTATATTGATTTAAAAGTATAAGCAGAGTATAAACGATAATATAACGACTTTTTAAATTGTAAAGTACGTTTGTGAGAAAATTCTCAAACTGTAAAAAATCTCAGGATTTTTCAATGGAAATCAAGCCTTTTCTCCGGACTTTTGATATTATCATCTGGTGACCCTAGTCGGAACAGTCGGCTCGGTACTGTGTCGGAGTCAGTCTATAGATTTTCGATAACTGCGAGTGCAGTGCGAGCTGCGATCGAGGTTTCCTTGAGGCGTAAACATGATGTTTACGTAGCGAGCGCGCGTCACAAACGCGGCGCATTCGGACTAAAGGGCCCTATTCTAAATCATTCGCCTTTAGGCGAGTGCTAGTTTCCCCACTCTTCTTTACCCGTTTAAATTCTTCTTTAAAATAATATTAAACTTTTATTAAAATCATTCTGTGTGTCGAACGAAACTCGGTTCAAGTTATGTTTATTTTATTAATTTAAGGTATTTCGAATGCATTATCTTAATATATATAAATCTCGTGTCACAATGTTTGTCCTCAATGGACTCCTAAACCACTGAACCGATTATAATAAAATTCGCACACCATGTGCAGTTCGATCCAACTTGAGAGATAGGATAGTTTAAATCTCAAATTATAGTCGCAATTTTAATTTATTGCAAATTATTACTTTTGGGCCGTACGAAGTTCGCCGAGTCAGCTAGTTATTATATAAAAATGACTGTCTTTCTGCCCGCTATTCTCCTTCTTAATATTTATTTTGCAAAATCCCACACTTGCATGTTCAAATTAAGCTTTGAATTGGGTAAGTTTTTTTTTTTATTTTCCTTTACGTTATATTAAATATGTTCTTAGTTAAAACAATTCTATTTTGACAGTTTTGAGGTAGGTAAACATTTCAGATTGCTGAAATTAGCGTCATTTGCGTAGCGTCAGGTGTCGAACTGGACTCCTCGGTACGTACATGAAAGTACCATTTCAAACGAACGACTCAAAATAGAGCTCCAGGTGCGTGGCTTGGATCGATAGCGATAACGAGTGATAACGCACGCCGCTCGCCGCCCGCCCCGGCCTGCGCGCGCACCGCCCTGAAGTCGGCGCGAGCCGCCGCTGACCTTGTGGCGGCGGCCGCGGCCTATCAAACGCTGCACGTGTGCGCGTTACCACGCTTCGACACACTGACCTACTGTACTGTTATCGCTTTGCATTCACTTCCGTTTCTTTGTATTTTTTCGACCTTAACGAGATAATACACCGGATAAATATACGTAATAATAGAGATGGGTAAAAATCTCCCTGGGAACCGCCTCAGATGAAAAGATTTATATCTTTTGCGATACCATGAACGGCGGGTTCGCTCGACGGACGAACGAGTTCGAGCGAACCCCGCACGTCGCGACGAGGTCACACCGTCGGGAAATAATCTGTTGATCGACTGACGCGAAGTGCGGTTCGGAATCGCGAAACAACATGGCGTTTGTACACAAAACGTGAGGATGGGGCGCTCCACGTCGATTTAGTTGGTTTTAGTTACTTTTTTACGTTTTTAATTTCGGTCCGACGGTCGACGGTCGCCCCGCGTAAAATGTGATCCGACAGGGGCCGACACCGGCGCTCGGAGCGCCCGCACCTTCGGAACGAGATTCGCCGTCGACGTCCGCGAATCATCCGAGGTGAGTCCGTCCGCCGTCTCCGCCCGCCTGGGTCTCGACGCGCTCGGTTCTCTCATCGCCCGCTTCCGTCCGCAGATGGCGAGCTCGCCGCACGGCGAAATAGAGGAGCTGACGCTGTGCTCCTGTTGCAAGCGGCAATTCGACGAGCGCGAGCGGCCGCCGAAGCTGCTCGCGTGCAAGCATCACTTCTGCCTGTCGTGCGCGCGCACCGTGCTCGGCAAGGGGCGCGAGGTGTACTGCGTGCACTGCTGGAAGCGCACCGAGCTGCCCGACGGCCGCGCCGACGCGCTCCCCACGCACCAGCCCGTGCTGGCCCTCGCGCGCCGCCTCGCCGCCGTCGCGCCGTCCGTCGCCGCGTCCATCGGGGCCCCGCCCGACGAGCTGGCATCGTGCGGTGCTCACGCGCTGCCCGCGCTGTGGTGCTGCGTGTGCAGCGTGCGCGCGTGCCGCGCGTGCGAGGGGCACGCGGCGCACGCGCAACTGGTGGTGCCGGCGCGGGAGGCTCGCGCCCTGCTGGCCGGGGAGCGGCGCGAGCTGGCGCGCGAGCTGCGCCGCCTGCACGCCAGGCAACGAGACTTCCTGTTGCGCGCCCTCGACGCCGCCACCGCGCTCAAGCTGCGCCTCGAGGCCGAGCTGGCCGCGCCGCCCGCGCCCGCGCCCGCGCCCGCGGCGGGGGCGGGGGCGGGGGCGGCGCCGGGCGACGGCTCGCTGGCGGCGGCGGCGACGGAGCGCGGTCGGCTGCGCGCGCGGCTGTCGGAGGCGGCGCTGCAGGCGCGACTGGAGGGGCTGGTGCGCGCCGCCGCCGCGCCGCTCGACTTCCCCGCGCTGCGTCGCGCCCTCGACGGACCCGCGCCGGCTCCCGCCGATCCCGACCCCGCCCGGCCGCGGCCCGACCCGCTGCTGTTCCTGGCCAACTACTGCACGGTGCAGCTGTACGCGCGCCGCCGCCCCCCGCCGCCGCCGGACTCGGACGACGGCCCCGACACGGACGCGAGCGGCTCGCCCGCCTCCCCGTCCGCGGTGGGCTCGCCGCCGATGCGCGGCGCGTGCGGGGGCGCGCTGCCCCTGTTCTACTTCGAGGTGGAGGTGAACGGCGCGCCGTTCGGCCGGATCGTGATCGAGGTGCGCAGCGACGCGGCGCCGCGGATGGCGCGCAACTTCGGCGCGCTGGCGACGGGCGAGCTCGGCGTCGGGTACCGCGGTTGCGCCGTGTTCCAGTGCTGGGAGAACGAGAGCGTGATAACGGGCGACTTCGAGCTGAACAACGGGCGCGGCGGGCGCTCCGCGTTCGAGGAGAGCTACTTCATGCCGGACGACACGCGGCTGGCGGCGGTCCGCGGCGCGGTGGGCATGCGACGCTCGCAGAAGCGGCACGACAACCTGGGGCTGGTGGGATCGCAGTTCCGCATCGTGCTGCGCGAGATGCGCGGCTTCACGGCCATCTTCGGCAGCGTGGTGGAGGGGCTCGAGCTGGTGGACCGCCTGTCGCGCGCGGGCGACTCGGCCGGCAAGCCGCACAGCGCCATCCTCATCTCCTCGTGCGGCAAGCTCAACTAGCCGCCCCGCCCCCGCCCCCGCCCCCGCCTCCGCCTTCCCCGGCATATCGTTCCTCCCGAATGACTCGCGACTCTCGTACCTTATATTTCGAATCCGTCGGACCAACTTTTCGTTTCCTTTCGCGTTCGTCTCGCGTCTCGATATATTTTTATACGGTAGAGGAAATTTTGAAATATATACTTATTTATGCTAATTATTCCAAGTTCGTCGGATCGAGCTTGCGTAGTTTCCGCTCGCGGCGGTCGTCTCTCGCGGTCGTATTAGACGTCGGTGGGCCTACACTCGGTGATGATTTATGGTAATCGGTAATGTTTTTGTTAAAATACGAATGCGGCGCGATGCATTCTGCACCGCGGCTGCGCGGCCGCACGTAGGTACGGCAGGCTTGGCTCGCGCCGGACGCCGGCTAGTTGATAAGTTATCTTATAACGTTTCGATTATATGTGTGTCAATATAAATGTTAAACATTATAGATGATATATATATATATATATATACTATACAGTAAAGGCGAGTGCAGGGCGCCGGCTTCGACGCGCCTGCGCCCCGGCGATATTCGTGCGTTATTTCGACGTTATTTAAGAAGATTATAAATATATTTACAAACTTCGTTACCTCTCGGAAAGATACGGTATAGGGATGATGACGAAATATAATCCCGATAGTCAGGTCGTTTTACAAGACTGTGATGTAAGGTAAGCAGCCCCGCGGCTGACAGGGTGTCGACTGTCGACTCGTGTGCTCGTTAAGTTTATTTTTCTATTTACCAAAGTTTATCGGCGTGTTAGGCTAAGCGTCGCCCTCTAGGCGTGTACTTCGTGTTGACTATATTCATATTATACGGTAGTTTGTCAGTCGACATATAGTCTATGATGCGCCCGCGCTTGTTGATGTTGTGTGTACGCGCGTACACTGTCCGCGACTTGGCAGAAGCGAATTCGTGATCAATAAATATATTCTATGGAGCAGCAACAATGGTGTTTTATTAAAATCAACCCTTTCAACACACCACATAATATTATGTAGTAGGTTCAATATCGCAAATTATGCAAATGCACTAATAATAAAAAAATAGAGGAAGTGCAATGTTACTTTTGAAAAAATTATCTGCAAATGAATAAGTAGGTGGGAAAAATAAAACACACTTCATAATGTTTATTTACAGGATCGAATTAGAATACAAAGAAAATTTTGTTACTTATTTTTCTGTAGATATTCTATTTCCGTAGTATTACAACTAATACGAACCGCTAGCAATAAGTCAAGTTATTTTACAGTCAATTCATCTTACCATTCGCTTCACAATCGATAAAACCCACTTCAAATTATGCACATTTCGATGCAAATAACTAATGGGTAGACAGTGCTTCATTAAGTATAGAAACATCCTACTGACATTTACAGGAGTAGGTACAGGTTCTACTTACCTTTGAGCGCAAATAGTAGAATATACGTTGCCGACCCATCATTTTATTTTTTCTCGGGTGAGTTTCCAATTCTCGGATAAAATCTATATGCCAAATAATAATCAGCCGATGGACGTCCACTGCTGGACATCGGCCTCCTCTAGGGCTCTCCAAACAGAATGATCCTGAGCTTTCCGCATACAATGGGTCCCCCCGACTCGCTTAATGCCGTCAGTCCACCTGGTGAGGGGTCTACCGACACTGCGATTCCCGGAGCGAGGTCGCCATTGAAGCACCTTAGGACCCCAACGTTCATCGGTTCGCCGCCCAATGTGCCCCGCCCATTGCTACTTCAGCATGGCGATCGGTTTAGCTACGTCGGTTACTCGAGTTCTTCTACGGATTTCCTCATTTCTGATTCGATCACGTAGAGAAACACCGAGTATAGCTCTCTCCATCGCTCGCTTAGCGACTCCGAGCCTTCTTATGAGGCTCATTGTCAATAAATTATTACACAATCAAAAAGTCAAACCAAAAATTAATATCACTGAAAGATTAACCAAACTCTTAATTTTATTAGATATAATAAAGATATATAAGACAAAAAAGGGATTGAAAAATAAGCCCTGAAACATAATATTCAAAAGAATACATTACATGCCTACGTATTTAATACAATAAAAAAATCAACGTTCCAGACGCCGGAAGTCAGTTTAAGAGAGTGTAAGAAATTAAAATATTAAGATAAATAAATAAATAAAAATAAATAAATATTTCCAACACTCACACCAATCAGCCTAGCCCCAAAGTAAGCACTGTAAGTCTTGTGTTATGGGATGCTAGGGTAACGGATAGAATACATATACTGTATATATATAAGTATATTTATATAGAAAATACATATTAAACATCCATGACTGGAGTACAAATGCTCGTATTCGTCACACAAACATATGCCCCCACCGGGATTCGAACCCGGGACCTCTTGAGTCGGCGACACCATGAAACTCGGCGTACAAACCACTCGGCCACGGAGGTCGTCAAAAGATAAACAACTTGTACTTGCTTATCGCAGACTTTTGTATTAGTTTATACAGCTACCTAATTATCTCTTATCTAATAGACAAGTCCGTCCGTCCGTCCGTGGTGCTGTTTCAGCGGCCAAACCGTAAGAGATAGATATAGAGAATGTTTAAGTTATAAGTTAAGAATAGTCTGATAAGACTACAAACCGGATGTGAGTAACGTAGCACTTCCGGTTTCGAGAAATCACGTGATTTCTATTTCAAACGAAACCACACAAAATCTCCGAAGTTCTCAATTAATTAAATACTTCTTTTTTTTTTTTGGTGAACATTTGGTTCACTGGTTTGCTAGTTTGGAATAATATAGGAATCACCAGATGTTCCGGAGCGGTCAACGACACACGTCCCGTGACGTTTGACGTTTGGATGGATATTAAAACAAATGACATCAATCGGCGTTAATTGAACAGCAATTGAAAATCGATAAGATTAATAATCACCTTATGTGGGTCTGGCATATTATGAGGTTTACATATAGGCGACAAAATTGATGATGACTGCTATAATTTGAGATGTCATACAATACAACGCTCCTTACATGAATCATAATGCGCCGTCGGAATAATGATGTTTTTAATATAAATACAGGGTGTTTCTTCTAGGGTGTCAAGCCAGTGCAAGCTGAAAGCGGAGTACCATACCTATCAATTTAACCCCCATGTATGTTCTACGATTTTTAGTAGTTTGCGAGTTAGATTTTTTTGACATTATTAACGATTCAACGATGAGACAAGTTGGAAAAAGTAAAACTTTTTTTGGGTCGACTTTTCTTCGGTTTTTTTTTTAACAGAATGCCTATTGTTTGTAGTTTTATGAGTAAAATAATCTCCTTCCTTACTTTAACCTAAGATATAAAAATTTTGATCGAAACTAAATAAAAATGGATTAAGTAAAACAGAATGGATTTTCAATTAATATAAAAAAATGATGTTCCATAACTGCTGAATAATTTTAAAAACTGCCCGACTTCATAATCTTTCATAAAAATACAAAAGAAGATATACTACGTTGGGCATTATTTGCTGAAAGCTGTCGTTGAAGGTGTTGTATCGGAAATCGTGTAAATTAATATTTTATAATTTCGTAGTATCTTTACATATTTTGTCTATCTAGTTTTATTATTCTTTTTAGTTTAAGTGGAGGTCATTAGAAAATAAAAATAATCATTTTATGACAACTAATCACTCAAAACTGTTATCCTTCTCATCAGATATTTTTATTTTACGCTTAAATAAGGAAGTGACTACTTGTATGTCGAGGACTCTCGATTGAGCTTTATATTAAGGTTGTTTGTGAGTGAAATCATGCCTCGAGATTACGAATTTTCATCGCAAGATTATGCACAAATGCATTATATCTACGGGTACGCGCGTGGAAAAGCTTTTCTTGCCGCAAGGCTGTTTCGCGAATATTTACAACGCAGTGAAGGACGACAGCCCGAAATTTATCCAGATCATATCAACAAATAAGATTGACTAAATATGCAAAGATACTACGAAATTATAAAATATTAAAATTACATTTCCAATACAACACCTTCAACGACAGATTTCAGCAAATAATTTCCTATTTAGTATATCTCTTTGTATTTTTATGAAAGCTTATGAAGTCGGGTAGTTTTTAAAATTAGACAGAAGTTATAGAACATCTATTTTTATTTTTACTGAAAATCCATTCTGTTTTACTTAATCCATTTTTGTTTCTTAGGTTTTCACGCACATCACTCATTAAATAAAACTAGTTTTTACGGGTTAATGCACGAAGGAACGTTTGATTCTGACGACGTAGCCTGTAAAGGCTACGAAACGTCAATAAATAAATAAAGTTTGGTGCATTAACCCGTAAAAACTAGTTTTATTTAATTCATTTTTATTTAGTAACGATCAAAATTTTTATATCTTAGGTTAAAGTAAGGTAAGACATTATTTTACTTATAAAACTACAACCAATAAAATTCTGTTAAAAAAAACGAAGAAAAGTCGACCCAAAAAAGTTATACTTTTTCCAAGTTGTATCATCGTTGAATCGTAAAAAATGTCAAAAAAAATCTTACTCGCAAACTACGAAAAATCGTACATGCAAACTACGTTATCAGCTCGCACTGGCTGACACCTTAAAAGACACACCTATAATAATCACTACATATTATAAAGCAAAGTCGCTTCCCGCTGTCTGTCTATGTCCCTATGTATGCTTAGATCTTAAAAATACGCAACGGATTTTGATGCGGTTTTTAATAGATAGAGTGATTCAAGAGGAAGGTTTATATGTATAATACATGCATAATATAGTAGAGAAACACTGATAATTTTTAATGTAAGGTCGTTAATAAACACATTTTTTTTTCGCTTACATTGCAAACGCTGGCTGAACCCTACGAGATAAATCAAAATAATGCATTACAGTATTGTAACACCTTAAAAAGGTCTACCTAAAAGTCCGCGATGGTATATGTCTATCTCTTAGGGATAACCCACAATAACCATTTTTAATTCTATACTTTTTATGAGAAATAATAGCTTATTTACGAAGCGATTTTCAGCAATATAACATTCATCCTTAACCAATTAAGTATCTTAAATACATTGTGTATTTAATACAGATCAATTTGGCCGTTTAAAGCATGTAATTTAAATGAATGTTTTCGAAGATATTACAGATTTTAAAATGCAGGGACATAGCGGTTCCGACGCTACCGGGCGGGGGGCCTGGCGGCGCGTGCCTATTGTAATTAGGTATAAGAATAATGTCATTGTGTATAATACAAGCACGAGAAGTAATCTACACTTCAGCTCTACACCGAAGCGAAGCGAGGGCGGGCCACTAGTATATACATAATTAAAAAAAAAACATTATTCCGACGACGCATTTCTGACAAGAACGAGAAACGTCAATAAATAAATAAATTCAGTGCATATATCCCGTTAAAACTGTTTTATTTTATGAAAGATGTGCGTGAAAACGACAACAATATAGCCTACGAAACAAATATATTATTATTATTTGACGACCTCCGTGGCCGAGTGGTTTGTACGCCGGGTTTCAAGGTGTCGCCGACTCGAGAGGTCCCGGGTTCGAGTCCCGGTGGGGGCACATGTTTGTGTGATGAATACAAGCATTTGTACTCCAGTCATGGATGTTTAATATATATTTCTATATAAATATACTTATATATGTACTGTATATGTATTCTATCCGTTACCCTAGTATCCCATAACATAAGCCTTAGTGCTTACTTTGGGGCTAGGCTAATTAGTGTGAGTGTGGGTAATATTTATTTATTTATATTTGTATATTTTTATGGAGTCACTATATACGTTATTAAAAGTTTGTCAAACAGCCCATTAGGACATATCTTTAAATACGTAACAATACTAATCATTGTGGAACGGCCTTTGTAGAGCATCAAGGGTGCAACAAAATGAAAATTGGAGCGACTTTGGCAAGTCTGTTGTAAGTTAAATATTTAATTTATTTTAATTTATTTCTTTATTTTTAATAGGATAACACTACTAAATATATCTTTCTAGTATTAAAGCTACCTAATATGACTTATGGCACAATTACATTTGGTCCTTAACCCGTATTCAACACGCAATATTTACACTTGAATATGGGCTGGAAGACAGTGTTGGGTAAACAAATGGTAATATTGTTTTAAACTTTCATGGTCACTAACATTATAGCTATTAACGGGATTGTTACCATGTACCTTGTTTTTTATGAGTCTCCGATATTTCGGCACTGTTGCAAGCGCCATGATCACGGAGTAACTGAAGTAATTGCGGGTAGATGTTATTGGCAGACATATCGGTCTATCCTCTGACGTCGTCTTTTACTGCGCTCGATACCCCTACCATTGGTCACATTCTCACTATTCACTCGCACCTGTTCCCGACACACAATACTCACAGTATCCGATCGCGGAACTACACTTTTTTGATTTTTACGGTTTTTGCACATACGATTGCAGGATCGGAGACTCATAAAAAACAAGGTACATGGTAACAATCCCGTTAATAGCTAGAACAAATGGTAATATAACGGAATACGGGCGTTCTCGACTCTGTTCATTTACAGTATTCGTTTACCCGAATTCCATTGTCACTCGTATTCGGGCTAACGACCGAGTGTAATCGCGCCTTAAGAAATAGTTTGATTCCGAGCTAAACATCGCAACAATTCGCGAAAGGAAAAATTATCTGTTTGTTTTCGCCACAACTTACAAAGTACTTTATAAATCCAAATTTTCAGTATTTATTGTTTGAATATAGCATATCCTTAATCAGTTTGTAAAAATTTTAACTTTGACGTCTTCCCATTTCATTGTTATTTAAAATAATAAAAACTTAGATTAAAACAAAAAGGGAAGATACGGTACGCTCATACTAGCATCACATAAATTATGATCCGGTTCAACTACATAAGCAACTGTCACACACGCACACTTCTGTAAATAAACATTCAATCGAGCGAGCGAGACCGAACTGTACGCCTCAACGCAGCGCGAGCGAAACGGCGAGTCCACACGGCTGAGCTGTATTGTTGTCCTTTTCTTGATAACAAAATGGCGATTACGTAAATAACATTCACGATAAACCGCGATTTTTGAAAAAAATGACATTTGTTATTTGATTTTGAACTACACACATCAAAAGTGTCTAGGGATCAACATATATTTTTGCAATAACTTTTCTCCTGATTGATATTAATTAAAATTTTCTTTAAGGATTCATCAAATAAAGTGTTTTCGTTTGTCACAGTAACGATAAACCAAGTCACCTTTGCATTAATAAAGAAATTTGCCATTTTCCTAATAAAGGGATTTTTGACATTTGAACCACTAACACAAAAGTTCGAAAAAAAGACTGAAATAACAGTTTTCTCTAAAATTTTATTGGGTAACTTAAACAATTAATAATCCGTATTTCTACCGCGAACACTAACAACACAAGAACATCGGTTTGGCATACTCAAAATGAGTTCATCCAAATCACGCTGTGGAATGGCCGCCCATGTTCGTTGCAACAACAAAAAAAGGTCTTCTTGCGACTGGATACCCTCCATATTCGGCAGAGCTCTTCTCTGTAGCATATCCCATGCATGCTCAATCGGGTTCAAGTCTGGCGACTGAGCAGGCCAGGGCAGGACATTGATGTTAGCTGCGGCGAGAGTCTGTCTTACAACTCTTGCGGTGTGCGGTCGTGCATTATCATGCATTAACTGATATAAGGGACCGATTTGCACTTGTAGAGGAACGATGACGTCTGATACAATCGTCTCAGCATAAATTTGAGCGTTGAGGTTGCCTCTGATCCAAATCAACTCAGTTCTTCCGCCGATCCAAATACCCGCCCATACCATGATGGTTCCACCACTATAAGGATGGACTTCCTGGCAGGATTTTAATCGCTGTTGGCGTCCAGGGGTTCTCCAGTGTCGTATACGTCTTGTATCCGGTCTCATACCAAAACGAGACTCATCAGAAAAGCACACGAAACGCCATTGTTCTTCTGCCCAATTTCTGTGTTCAAGAGCCCATTGATATCGAATCCTACGATTGTGCATTGCTATAGGTGGTACCCGTAGCGGTCTTCGGGAATGAAGGTTCACTTCATGCAAGCGGTTTCTGACTGTTTGGTCGCTAATTAAGTTCCCTGAAGAGTGATGAAGCCTCACGGCTAACATCATGGCGGTTATTGTTGGAGCTCTTCGAGTTAAGATTTGAATGTATCGGTCTTGTCTCCGTGTGGTGCAGCGATACCGTCCTCCATGGCGCTCAGCCACGGTACCAGTGCTTCGGTATCGTGTCCAAAGTCGACTGATAACACTCTGACTTGTATTCAGAGCTAAAGCCACAGTACGTTGCCGGGAACCAGCTTCTATCATTCCCACGGCTCTGAGCATTTCTTCCCTGCTTAAATGACGTCGCCGCTCCATAATAACGTTGGTTTTAATCAGTAGTAGGGAAACAGTAGCACTAATAATGTCTTCAATGCGTTGTATGTTTTTATAGGGAAAATATTGACAGCTGATTTTCATCTTTTACTCGAATTTGATTCACAGTTCCTGATTCAAATTATGAAATGCACCAAAAAGGATCCATATAAATTTATAAAATCATAAATTTATTACAAAGCCACATCTCAATCTCAAGAAATCCGCATAAAAATGCTTGATCCCTAGACACTTTTGATGTGTGTATTTGTGTTCTTTATAAAAGCAGTGATAGCATTGTTTTATCTTTATAACACAGAATATACGCAATATTAATATTTTGAGTACACATGCAGCGTGTTTGAATGTCCAATTGTGACTGAAGCGAATTGTGGTAATGGACCACAATTTAAGCGTATCACTTTTGAGCCGCGAGTGAAGTATCTTCCCTTTTTGTTTTAATCTAAGAATAAAAAATATATTTTTATCCTACTTAACGAGCTCTAGACAGTGAAGTGCCACATGCTGGGGTAAAAAGAAAAAAAACGTGTCCTTTTCGTGAATGTGACATTCCGTGAAAAGAAAAAGATTTTTAACCAAATTCTCGGCTCTGGGCTAGCATTTTGCAAAAAAATCCATTTCAGTTCCGCAACTCATTCCCTTTACGATCTAAAAACCCGTGATATACAGGCAGAGAGACAGACAACAGAGTGATAGCAATAGGATTCCGTTTTTACCGTTTGGGTAGTACACCCTAAAAATGGTAATAATGACCATGCGTTGCCTGACTGGCCACCGAATATTTACGAATGTGTTCGGCAAATTTTCGGAAATTCAAGTCGTTGTACCCTTCGGTTGTGTGGAACAAGAACTTATAGAATATCTTGAACATTTTAATCAATAACTCTGTACTCTGTAAATTGTATGTAGACTGAAGCTATTTAGATTTAAGGTGAATGATATAGACAGAATATAAAAATCTAGACAAAGCTTTCGACAAAACAGTAGTGAAATGAAATTGAAATACTTTTTTATCAAACTGGATCTTTCGCATGGTAAGAAGAGAACAGTCCAATAAATCTAAACTAATTAACACTCAAAAATAATCTATATACATGGTTGAGAGAAAACTCAGGATGTAGTTTTTCAGGGAAGCATTTTGGGGCCAATTTTGTTTTTGTGAGTTTTAGTATGTTACTCTTTCTTTCCGCTAATATTCGCAATTTACCAAAGAACAGCACACTTCAAACGAAATCAATTTCATATTAATAAAATCATCATAATTTATCCTCAATTTATTTGCGGTTTGCAAAAATCTTCGTTTAAAATTTGTAATCAGTTTTCATCTAAGCATTAACTCTTTTTTCTGTTGTAGTGTATGAATTTACTGTCTTATCATTTTATCTGCACGGTTCATTTAATTCAATAATTAGGTTAAACTTTTTAATATTTTTAAATTGTTTGGCAAGTTTTTCAATGTATGTTTTTCATTTGAATGAGTATAGTCACCTTGTAGTAGACGTCGGGCACGTACTGCGCGTCGCTGGAGGGGCGCACGTAGCCGAGGTCGGGCGCGTCGCGCGTCGGCAGCAGCACGTTGTCTCGGACCATGGCCGCGCACTGGCCCGACACCTGGTACCCCTCCAGGTGCACTTGCTGCGACGAGTCGCCTGACGACAACCAAACGGACGTCTCACGCGGGCTATACTCAACGATACGCACATAAACAGGACATTGACAATAGTAAGCCTTGTCACGCGGTCGTCAAGCCGGCAGAATGAGAAATGAAAATATCTATTACTTGATAAAGGCAAAATTACAAACACCTGACCAATGATTCAATTATCTAAACCTGTTACTAAGTGTGACAATAGTACATCTAGAGACTGTTATCAAATATAGTTTTTAGGGTAGCAAACCAAGTCAGAATTAAACCTGATCTCAAAATTAAATCGAAATTGCTTTTAACATGTTAAAACACTGAAATGTCATTCATCGCAAAATCATTTCGAGTTAGTGTTCGCGAGAGACCTGTCTATCGGATAGTCAGCTGACGCGGCTGATGACCGAAAACGGTAGTGTTGTCTCCTCAAAACTTGAGATTTTAAGAGAATTCGAGGGCTTCTATGGACGGACCTCGCGACACAAAAAGAATATGATTTGGCTAAGGACCCTAGAGCCAAATTAACCTAACAACATACCGAAGATATCAGCCTTTACGAGATTAGTATCTTTCTCAAACAACTGAAGAATACAAGACGCCAGAAGATAAAGGAATCACAACAGAACTCATGAAAATAAACGGAAAACCAGTATGTAAAATATTTCAGTGATTGTTCATACCATTATTCTCCAAAAAATAATAATGTAATGTCAAATTGATACAAAAAATAATAATAATTACAATAATAATGCAGAATTAATGAGAATCGAGCAGCTCAAACAATGTTGCTTTAAAGTTTTTCTGCGAAACGTCGTGTGTGTGTGTGTGTGAGATGCGTGCGCATATCTTCCCGACGAGCATGAAACTTGGAGGGTAACTCGGCGATGGCTGAAACGCTACGAGCATCACGAGCGTCACACGCCACAATATATATATATATATATATATACATATATATGAGTGATGCGTGCGCTGCTCCATTCCCCTATGCCTTATGCACCCCCTAATGTTTTTCAGATATGTGGTCCATGCACACTTATTATTTTTGTAAAGGTTTACATTATTTTTTTATTATTTATAATAAAAAAGGAGTTCCTACATAAATTTTCAGCACTCTAGCGTCATAATGCAGAAGTCTCATCTTCCATTCACTAGTTTATGGAGTTGGGGGATAAAAATTACAATTTTTATAATTTCTTTTTTGTTTGTGTACTAATCCCAGCTTATATGCCAAGTTCCAGTTCTCTAGGACATAAGTAAATACCCTAAGTGTATCAGTGAGTCAGTGTCAAAAATCACAGTTTTGAGATAGCAATGAAATCTAAAGTAAAAGACTTGCAAGAAAGTTGAAGCAGAAGTTTGCTATTGACAACTAATATATCCCGAGAATTTTGTTAATCTGGTACAATCCAATTATAACTTTGGGTGAGGGTAAAAACGAAGAAGCGCTGCGAGAAATGGTAGGAAGTTCCCCTGCGCTTAGCTAGGCTTGTCAATTAAACAGCTTTCGGGCAGTACCCTTAGCACGAACTATTATCGAATTCAAATAGTTAAATTCGAACTATTATACGTCAAATGTGTACTGATTTTTAGTTCGCGTTACGTCCGTTGTGTGTGGCGCTGCTGTTCAAATTTCCATACAAAATGTGTCATTGACATTTCGGTTTGCTAACTATTCGAATTCGATAATGGTTCGTGCTAGGGGTATTGGTCACATCTTTCTGTCGTATTTGTTGTGGTTGGATAGATCTTGTACTGGTCTTGTATACGGACTGTATAGCGGCGTTTCCATACAAAATCTTTAGTATTTTAGATACGGCATATCTGTAAGGATCTCAACACAGCCCATGTTTCCGTGTGAATCGAAATGTTTTCTCATAGTCTTTAAACGCTAAGCATAGAGGCAGGTTATATTCATCGGTCTATTAATTAATTTTTCGCAGCGTGCGGATGTGGTTTATGCCGCTGAAACCTTTCCGTACCTGGCTTGTTCGAGAGACTGGAAGTTGTCTAACCTATTAGCGAGGCGATCCCTAATAACTTCAAAATTCTCTGTGGACACAAATCTGGCCTCAATGATTTCTAACATTTCCTCAAGTGTAGATTCGGGGCGACAAGTTGACGTGGTGTATACTGATTTTAGCAGCGCATTCGACAATGTAAGTCATGCTATTCTCTTGTCAAAATTGGAAAGCTATGGAGTTGGAGGGTCATTGTTATTATGGTTTGCTTCATATCTGGCTAAAAGACCTCAGATGGTTTCTGTGGCAGATTATGACTCTAAAATGTATTATGCTCAATCTGGTGTACCGCAGGGCTTTCATTTAGGCCCAATTCTATGTTTATTTTTGAAGTTATACTTCTTTAGGCGCGTTATGAAAAAATGATGAGAGTGAAATTTTAAGATGCGCGCGCATCACGGTAACACAAAACTTTAACAGCATGCTGTTACTTTTGTGTTTACCGCACATTAAGAAAATCTACCAACAAAATAGAAATAGAATCTCTATTTAGTGGGTGCTAACGAATGCATTGTGAAGGCCTATCAAAAGTATTTATTAATCTGGAACAACGGAACCAAAGCGCGATTCAGGAGACTACAGCGCCATCTCTTGACCATTGGTGTAGTAGAACCAAAAACCACATCTTTATTTTTTGTAATAAAGTAACAGTTATAGGTATTCATATTTTTAATATTTATCCACATGTTTCTAGTTTGTATATTCGGAATACGTGTTTGAGTTTCATACAAGTGCAAATCACATATGTTCTTATAAATTATATTCAGTAGCGATTTTAAATGAATATTTTGATTATTTATTTATTTTTTCAAATTAAAACTGAACTTCATTGACTGTGTCCTTTTCCAGACTTTTTATTAATTTATTGTAATTAATTATTTGCATGCAATTAAAAACTAATTTTAAACGATGCCAAAGAAGGATAACTTCTCACGCGCCTACATAAGTACACGCACCCATTTTTTTATTAATGACATTACTTCGTCCATTGAACACAGTAATATATCCATTTTTGCTGATGACCTAAAACTTTACAGGACAATTAATAATTCTACTGATATTGATCTCTTGCAAGCAGATGTTAACAATTTAAAGCTTTGGTGTACAAATAACGGTGTGACTGTAAATCCAGATAAATGTTTTCATATATGTTTCACGAGGAAAAACAATATTATTGTATCTGCGTACTCTATCGCTGGGACTATATTGAGAAAGGTAGACCAGGTACGCGATCTTGGCGTAATATTGGATAGTAGGTTAAAATTTAAATCTCATATTGATGGGATTGATAAAAAATCTGCCCAAATGCAAGGCTTTCTGAAACGCAATTCGCAGGGTTTTCAACGACACGAAACCAGGATAATCCTTTTTAACATTCTTGTTCGTACTGTGCTCGAGTTTGCATCTGTTGCATGGAGCCCGGTGTATGCTAATGCATCACAGAGAATTGAAAGCTTTCAACGTGGCTTCACAAGACATCTACCGTATAAAGCATCCAGTATACATCACCGGGTACCTTACAATATGCGACTGGCTTTCTTTGGTACGACATCACTGAGGAATCGTCGAACAATAACAGATTTGCTATTTCTCCATAAAAATATAAATAATATTTTTTTTTGTCCTGATCTGCTTAACTCAACGAACGTCACTGTACCCCGTAGATGGCCAAGAAAGCCACTTACGTAGACTTTTACTTTGCCTTTACACAGAACTAACCTTGGTCTTCATCACCCTCTGGCCAGAATCTGCAATACCTATAATGATATTAACACAAAACCACCCAACTTGGACATTTTTGACGTTTCGTAGAAAAACTTTAAAGCAATATTGTTTGAGCTGCTCGATTCTCATTAATTCCGCATTATTATTGTAATTATTATTATTTTCTGTATCAATTTGACATTACATTATTATTTTTTGGAGAATAATGGAATGAACAATCACTGAAATATTTTACATACACACACCCACACACATATATATATATATATATATATATATATATAGTCGAGTGACGGTTGTGACGCGTTTCCGTTTCATCTTTTCCATAGGATTTTTCCATTTACATTCCGCCCGAAAAGAAATTTCACTACTAAAGAAATGAGATCCCTCCAAAACATTTTCATGTAAAAAGTTCTTTCAATGTTAGAAATGTAATCTAAAAAGTAGAAAAAAAAGAACTAACAAAACATGACTTCATTCCATTTCCATTAGTTCACGAAAATTGTTTGCGATTCCGAACTTCATGTGCGTCACTGTCGATATTTCGTGCAACAATCGTTCGTTACCGAAATTTCTTTACGAAGAGGGAGTAGAGGAATGTGGAAATCCGTAGAAGTATTAGAACAACCGATATAGCTCAACGTATAGCCAAGTTGAAGTGGCTGGGGCGGGGCATTAGCGGCTGGGGGCGGGGCATTAGCGGCTGGAGGCGGGGCCCATAGTTCGACGGACCGATGGATATGAGGGTCCATAGGTGCTTCAATGGCGATCCCTTACGAGGTAGACTGACGACATCAAGCGAGTCATGGGACCGAATGGATGGTGAAAGTGCAGAACCGTTGTGGGAATCAATACAGGTATTTTGACGTGACAACGTCTTAAATTAGGTTGCGGCTGGGAGTCACTTATGAAAAAGTGTAACGCTCGGTAACGTTACGATGAGTCTCTCGTGTTAAGTTTAAGTTTACATGTACAATGTTTTAGTAAACAAAATATATTTCTATAGTTAAAATTTGTGCAATTCTTATTTTCATTCAATTCCTTGTTCCTATTGTGCAATTTAATTATATTCATATCAATAAATATTCTACCGAGAAAAAGATGTTGTCACGTAAAATCTTCGCCCGTAAAACCGACTTTACAGGCAACCATTTTTTTGTCCAACACCGGATGTTAAGAACACTCACCAGTAACGCAGACGGTGACGAACTTGGAGCCGAAGTACCCGCTGGAGGCGTGGCGACAGGCGTTGGGATGCAGGTTCTGGTAGTGGCCCGCCATTATGCATTCTTGTGCCGACAGGAAGTGGGTGTCCACGCCTCTGTGCAAGGGAATAAACATGATCAATATTTTGAATATTTCATAAAAAAAAGGCAGGAAATTTTCGTCTTGAAATGTATAGTGCGTAAGGTGCGTATGTTATAAGCGAAAACATATTATTTAAATACACATTCAGAAAAATCAGCTTTCGACTTTTAAATTTACATTCATAAAATAGTGGCTAAGCATAACTCAGGCCTTGCTCTATTAGGGTTCCGTAAAATCGTCACAATTTACATTTAATAATAAATTTAGTAAATACTATTTATATTCGAAAATTTTCCATCACCAGCTGCTGCCGCGCGTCCTGCTGCAGCTCGTATATACAGATACCTGAGGTGTCGCACGGCCTGGGGCTGCGTGGGGTCGGGCAGCAGGTCGGTGAACAGCCAGCCCACGGGCCGCAGCTGCAGGCGCGCCGCCAGCTGCAGCACCAGCTGCTGCCGCGCGTCCTGCTGCAGCTCGTATATACAGATACCTGAGGTGTCGCACGGCCTGGGGCTGCGTGGGGTCGGGCAGCAGGTCGGTGAACAGCCAGCCCACGGGCCGCAGCTGCAGGCGCGCCGCCAGCTGCAGCACCAGCTGCTGCCGCGCGTCCTGCTGCAGCTCGTATATACAGATACCTGAGGTGTCGCACGGCCTGGGGCTGCGTGGGGTCGGGCAGCAGGTCGGTGAACAGCCAGCCCACGGGCCGCAGCTGCAGGCGCGCCGCCAGCTGCAGCACCAGCTGCTGCCGCGCGTCCTGCTGCAGCTCGTATATACAGATACCTGAGGTGTCGCACGGCCTGGGGCTGCGTGGGGTCGGGCAGCAGGTCGGTGAACAGCCAGCCCACGGGCCGCAGCTGCAGGCGCGCCGCCAGCTGCAGCACCAGCTGCTGCCGCGCGTCCTGCTGCAGCTCCACGCCGTCGCGCGTCGACGATTGCGGCGGCTCGTAGATCGCAGCCACGCGCGCGCGGATACCTGATAACATGCCAACGGTAACGCGAGCTCGTTGCGTTACCCCGAATACGGGTGCCGATATAATTCGGGTAAATGACAAGTGTAAATGAATGGAGTCGAGTACGCCCGCGTCCGGGTAGATTTCTTTTGAAGTGAAACTTCTTTATGCATGCTTGACTTGATGGCGGGGAAGCTGGCGAACGGGAGTTGAGCAGGGGATATAAACAAGAGAAAGTAGTGCGCGCGCACATTTGCTTTCTCTCTTTCTCTTACAGCTAGTAAATGAAATATATATATGTACATACATATATGTATATATATTGTACATATTGACAAACATTAACAAAAAAAACGAGTGTGCTTATGACCACATGTCTGAAGTGAAACTTCTTTAGCTCCATCTGTATATATATATATATATATATATGTATATATATATATATATATATGTACATTGCCCTTGCCCAGTGTAAATATTGCTTCCGATGCCATAATTCGAATTATATCTTTCGTGCACACGAACACGGGCTAGCTACCAAATGTAATTGCGGATAAGGCGTGGATGACACTTCAAAACTGAAAATGATGTCTTTTTATAAACATTTAACTGTAAGATCTTTAAAGTTAAAGAAAATTAAAAAAAAAACCACGTGACCCAGGCAGCAAACGAAAGAACCCGCACCCTCTGCTATCCGGACGAAGAGATGGCGCTGCCTTGCAGCCTAAGAAATAATAGAAGAAATTCGACAAGGCCGTTAAGGCTACTGTAGCATAATTGGTCATTGAATCTGCCCGGATAGCGGAGGGTGCGAGTTCAAGTCCCTACTGCCTAGCCGCGTGCAATTTTTTGTAGTAAAATATTCAAACTGATATATTTAGTTTAGGCTGTCTACAAGCACTTGTGAATGTCTAGAAGCTACGCCATCGGTTCGTAAATCTACGGCGGCAGATCTTGTACTGAGAAGAACAGACAAGAAACTCAAAAAAGGCTATTTTTCTCCCTGTATAATTATTTACAGAGATGAATCATGAAGACAACTTTCATTACATAATGTGAAATGTACATTAAATATTTACCTGCACTTAAACATATGGCATACTCTAACAATAAACTTAAACTATTAATTTAGTTTTGTTTCACCGCATTCATCACTATGACATTGATTATTACATGAATTGACATAGAACTCTGCCATACTTTTTAGAAAGTTAATTGAGAAAACAATGTAGGAGATGTAATCTGTATATTTTGTATTATTTACACTTCCATATTTCAAAATTTACTGAGCATTAATACAATAAAGATTCCCCTCTGAATGTATTATATATTTAATCAAAATAACATAAACGTTTTAACAATAAATTTTACCTACTAACTTCTTATATCCTTTAGACGAAAATTCTGTACGTAACTAATAATAGGTCATATTATAAAGAGAAAAATATTTGTTATTCCTAGCTTTAGTTTGTTAGTCAGACGCTGTATTCTTGTTTGTTTTAATGAAGCATACATGTTAAACATGCATGATTCAATTATTATAATTGTAAGCAATTAATATTATAATTCCATAGATTAACTTCAACTCCTATCACCATACCTTTCGTTTTGCAAGTTGTTTACAAATTTCAACAGAATTTTATTTTGCACGCAAATGTTTATTGGGAGCAATTAAAATTAATTAGATGAAAAGTTTAATCACCTAGAGGCACATCGGGATGTATCTCATATGAGCCAAGTAGGAAGCCGATGCGCTGGTGTCCAGTGGCTCGCCAGTAGGCCAGGAAGCGCTCCACCAGCGCGGGGTGCTCCACCAGCACGTTGTCCACGTGGCGGTAGGGCTGCCGGGTCAGCGTCACGGCGCCCGGCTGGCACTTCGAGCAGATGCCGCGCGGCCACGGCGGGTGCTCCTTGCAACCTACGACACACAACGCATTTGTTCATCATAGGAACTTGCTTATAATATTTTATTATTGATAGTCCTAAGTTACCATCGGTACTCAGGCATAAGATTGTAGATTAGATTATTTATTTTAATTTCAATAGTAAATGCTCCCATGCTTAACTAGGAATAAAGAAAAATACGGATAGTATAAACTCTTCCAATGGTAACTTTAAGAAAATACATGGTGTTATTGCAGTGTGCTGCTCATGAGAGCTCTGATAATAATCCTTCCAGTGAATTATAATTTAATAATTCATCATAATTTATTGACATAAAAAGGGTAAAACTACTACAATCAGGAACAGATCACATAAATAATAATTAACATAATAATAAAAGAAGTAACCTGGTTTGATTTTGAATGAGAGTTCATCTAAAGAGACAAATTTCCCTGAAGTAATCTTGCGCATGTAGGAGTGAAAAGACATGTGCTTTATATTGTGTTCCTTCAGGTAGTTCTCATCCCAGGGCTCCAGCGGTGAGCAATGTACACAGCACCCATTAGAGTTATGTCGGCATCTGGATAAAACATCATTATTATAAAAAAATTGGTAAAACTGTACTTCCAGGTCCCAAGAGGTGATACACCACTGCCGTAGCACACTCTTTTCGCTCGCTCGGCTCGAGCGTTATGGTTACAACACTAACCTAACCTAGTGTGAAGTAACACCACTTGGGCCCTGGAAGTACAGTTTAGCCAAAAAATCTCTTTTAGATATAAGATTTCGAAAAAAAAAACAAAAAAGATAATTTTGTACACTTACAATTTTTCATCACGACTTCGCTGTATGGTCCCAGGCATCCTATATAACTGTAAGTCTACTTCATCTTCTTCTATAGCTCCTAAACGAGGAGTTGATGCTGGTGGTGCAGCAGCTGAAGATCCAGCTACAGCCGGCTCACCAAATGGCTTGTTGTTAGCCTGTTTGGTATATTGAATTATTAATAAGTGATTGATACTGGTAAATTTGTACATTAAAGTGTAAAACCAACAGGTACTGCTACTAAAATTTTGATTCAGAAGTTTACATCTTGAATTTGATATACTTAGGCCCGTATTATAGAAAGATTCTCAGTGATTGATCTAGTCTTGAGCATAGTTGTCGCTATATATAGCATATAGCGACATCCCTTTCTAACTGTACTCAAGTAAAGATCAACACTTAGTTATCATACTGTAATACGGGCCTTACTCTCCTATATTAATACATGAAGAATAAGCTTAGATCAATAGCTCCATGTTTTGTCTCTGTTCATTAAATGACAAATGGCACATGAGTGATATGAATCACTGATGTGCCATTCATCATATGTCAAACAAAACATGGCATAATTAATCTAAGTTTATCTCTTGTTTATTAATAAGGGGACTATTTTTATAATATTTATGTACAGCTTCATTATAAATAGGCACTGGATATACATATGGACACATACTTCTGCACTGGTTGTCGGTTGGTCAAAGAGAACTGCTCCATTGACGGGGCTCAGGTAGAGCATGTCCCCATGCTGCAGGCCATAGTCGCGCAGTGTGCGCGACTTGCTGGAGGTGATCTCCTCCTTGCGCTGGCGGTCCTTGTGCAGAGCGAACCCGAACGTGCTGAGCTGCAGCGTCTCATATACGCGCTCGAACAGCAGCGCCGTTGCGTCACAGTCCAACACATCCACGCGAGCGGTGCCTTCCGCCGATTGAACGCGCAGCGTCTGCACACCAAAACAATCAACACGTCAAGTTGGTGATGTCCCTACCAGTGCATCACGATCAAAATTGCCTAGTCATCTCACTTCATTGTGACGGTATAATGTCAAAGAGAACATAAGGATTCTTACAACACATCTGTGATAGTGTGTTGGAACGAATCCCAGTAAAAAGCATAAAAAACTCTTCAATCATAAGAAAATAAGTGCTCAGTAAGATATCGTCCAGAATGCTTCCGCGACATAACTTGGCCTTCTAAGATTGAATTATATACTGTGAAAAGTAGGCAGCTGAAGACGGCGATACCACAAAGTTAAAACAATTTACCATTTTCTTTGGAACAGACATTCTTCTAAAATAAAATAACTGCAGAACACAAAACCAACAGCACTGACTGACATGTAAATCAGAATGACAATTGACAATGACATGCAAATGACAAAAATGCCAAAACACCAATGCCCAGCAATCTTTTTTCTTTTTTCCCATTTTCCAAAGCATAAGATATTAAAACAGTACATCCTGAGCTTAAGTATTTTTTTTACTTTATAACAATAATAACTCATTCCCTTTGAAATAAAAAAGCCAAAAAAAAATAGGAGCATGAACAGGGTATTCTATCGTAAACATAGTAAGAATCATCTTTATTACAATCAGAACTTTTAAAATAGTTATCAATAATAAAGTTCCATGGACTAATTTTCCTTTGCCTTCAAGAAGTCAAAATAAAACAAACAGGGCTTCGTTCAAAACCTACGCTCTAAGAGCATTGTATGTCAAAGTGACACTTCAGCATCATACATTTTATGTTAAAATTGAAACGTCAAGGTAAAAAGTTGCATTTAGAGCGTAGGTTTGGAACGCAGCCCAGGATACTGACGAACTTTTGAATTTTTTGAATTTAGGATTGTGAGTGTGCGCCATTCAGTTTAATTTTGCTTATTTATTTTTACGACTTTTAAATTATTGCAACAATTACTTACAAAGATCTGTTGATGAAATCGGTAGTTACGTACCAAAGTTTATTTTCCTTTTTGGATTACTAGGCATTTTATGTAATGTAAGTATTACTACTACCTACCTATTTTAATTTACCCCCAAAAACTTTAAATTTACTGATAAATGCGAGATTTATTTTATTTCTTATTTATTTAAGGACGGTTTGGCGGCGACGAACGTAGTCGTTCTCGTGTTCCTGTCTTATAAATAGTGTGTAGGAGGTGTGGGGCGCGCGCGGCTTGAATAGTCCGTAGATTGCGCTGCAGTGCAGTGAGCAGATCCAGGTCGCGACAGGTGTCCCAGGCTGCTGCACCAGTGCACTTTTCGTGAACTCTCTCACACATCAATACATTTTAGATACCTAGTGATATTTCATTGTGTGGCACATTTAAAATTTATTATATATTTTCTACAATAAAGTGAATAGCCGCATAATTTGTGACAGCATAATTTTACAAGTTATTTAAAAAGGTTTGTGTTCGTCTAAACAAACAAGTTTTTGCTTTTCGCCAATTTGATTTATGATTTTTAGGGTAGATGTACATTAATTTTGATTGTTGCAGTGTTGTGATGGCAGCAGAAGAAGGTGTTAATGTAGACCTTTACATTTATGACCTTACAAATGGATTTGCATCTTTACTCCCACAATCCATACTTGGTAAGTTATGAGAACTTTTCTTGATATTGAATTTTAAAGTTCAAATATGTTTACATAGATCATATTAAGTAAATGATGTAGAAAATTTTAAGTGCTTGTTAAAACATTCTCAGGTAAGCAATCAGCAATCATAAGGACAGACTGCTCTGTAAAAGCTATTAATTTATGTGACTGCATAAATATACCTGCTAATAGATGTAAAAGTCTCTAGGGTCAAATTTGATGCACCTTGGTCTTATTTAGTTTTCTTCTGTTTTCTTTTTGTAAAATAGCAAGGATGGAATGATGAAACAGGAATAATAAGGATTCTTTTTGTAAAATAGCCATAATACAGACTATATAAGTATTAAGTTTTATGTTTTTTTTACCCGACTGCACAATGCAAGAGATGCGCAGACAGGGTATAGTGTTTAACAGTCTATATATGTATGTTTGTTCCTTTTCATCTTAAATATTTTTTTTTATTCAATATCTTCATTTTTATACTAAATACCCTCATATCACCTGTACTTGCAAATACATTTGATAAGGTTTAGTTAAAGACTAAATATTTGGAGTGAACTGTCAGGATATAATGTGATATCATGTCTCCTATGAGGAAGCAGAGCAGCAAATGTTAAACCGATTAAGAGGGGTAGGACAAAGGGGATTGTTGGCTAGAATTGGAGCGCCTATCTGGGGAAGTAAACTCCACCTTACAGAAGATCACAGTCAAATAATATTAATTACCTTTTGGTGGTATTGTGTTTCTGTTGGTTACATAGTTTCAAGGGCTAGATGGGGTAGGAGTTTGGGTCAGGCTAGGGAATGGTGCAAGCAATATTTTTGGTATCTCAAGTGTCAAGCTATGGTAGCTGCTTATCATTAGATGGGCATTAAGTTTGCCACCCTTCCAACATTTTTTTTATATAGTTATATTAGTATACCGTCAGTTCCTTACACAGACACGACAACATTACTCTGAAAGACAATTTTCGACAATCTCTGTACAGCCGAAAGATGTACGCGTAGTTTGTAGTCTACTGTTTTCACCTCATACTGTTTTCTGTAAAGCTTAGATTTGTCCATTATTAAGCCGACAGTGTACGGTATATTTATGCGGATTTCTCACGCACTCTCAATGACCATGGACGGACACAAACTACACACCAGTACTCTTCCAACTGTGTGTGTAGCTACTAGCTTGTGGGTCTTGAAGTTAAAGCTATTCTGTCATTTCAAAATGCTAAATGAAAGAAAATTTCACTGCTTTTTAAAGATTTCGCGAAGTATTCGCCCACTACTGCAGACTTGTATACTGACTGACAACATTCCTTCCAACTTGAGTTGGTGCGTGTAATTTTATTCAAAGCTGATGATATATCTTATATGTTTCCCAACTACGGAATAAAAGTGATCGCGGAAGGATTTAAAGCTGCCCAGCCAGGCTGCGCCGGCGCCGGTCCGCGTCCTCCACAATATCACTCACACGTTTACGCGTCGATTTTCCCGCGTGAGGTGAGAGTGCGCGCACTTTTCACGACCCAATTTCTTCGCGCGACTGACAGACAATTAGACTCATCACTGTATTTGTTTCAAGGACTGTTTTGTTGTTCTACTTATGGTTCTATTCTTAGCAACTGTTAATAATATTTTCAGTTAATAGCGACATTTTAAAAGAATATTCTTGTTAAAATTTTGACGGCGAACATATTCGACATAGCAACATAAGAAAATCATAGTAGTTTACGCGACTTTCTTTTCTTTCTTCGAAAGAAGGGGTATTAAAACACGTGAGTATATTTATCGCATGGGGCGAAACCGAAAGCGATAAAAGGTTGAGTAGACTGTCATAATACTTGAATTACTCGTATATGCAGCTGCACACACTAGTTTATCTTCACTCTTACGAATTGAAATTAAACAAAGTAGGTAACAAAGAAGTATTTTGCTGAACTTTTCTGAAATCCCGAAACCTAACACGATCGGCAGAAAATTGTATGCGGAGCGCGAGGAATTTAATTCGATCGATCACGGTGTGACTGTTCAGATAAGTTACTCCGTGTAGTATGAAATCTCTTGTGGGGTTGGCAAAGCATCAATAAAATAAATATTTCCGACACTCGCACCAATTAGCCTAGCCCCAGAGTAAGCACTGTAAGGCTTGTGTTATGGGATGCTAGGGTAACGGATAGAATACATATATTGTACATATATAAGTATATTTATATAGAAATACATGTTAAACATCCATGACTGGAGTACAAATCCTCGTATTCATCACACAAACATCTGCACCCACCGGGTTTCGAAATAAGGGGTACACCGATCAATCCGCCCTGTTTCTATTCAACTCTGTCCGTTGATAGACTTTCTATGTGCTCTGTCACTGCCGTTGAACAAGGGGTACATACAATCTGACGTACCTAATCGAATATCGTGATGGAGATGCTGCAAAGACTAACTTTCTAGAAGTAGAAAGAGGTCAACGGTGTTTGTTAAAAAAAGTAATGTATTTTAAACCTTGCAAGATTTTCGACTTACGAACTTTATGAAATAGCCAATGTACCGACTGTGCGTCAACTTTACATACAGATTGCAATCTTAAAACGTCATAAATACTTACCATATGACAACTCAAAGAAGAAGAAAATGCATAAAGATCTCTCAGCATAACACAGTTTTCTCTGGACGGCAATTCGATATACAGAGTTGTAAAATTTACAACGAAGTTAATCCATCCATCCATCCATCAGCCTTTTTCCGTCCACTGCAGGACATAGGGACACATAAAACATATATTGAACTATAATCATAATATATATATATATATATATATATATCGATTCAGCAATTGTTGTGCCGATAATCATATCTGCCCATGGTTTGCTAGCCAAAAGCCTCGATAAACATCTTAAGAGGCTCGCGTTAGGTGGTTGGGTCAAGAGTCAGATGCAAAAGGCAGTACTTCTGGACACGGCCCGAATAGTGAGGAGGTTCCTGTCTCTGGATCCTTAACCACCGGTAGCAGGGACCCTGATCTTGCTGCCGATGGGGAACTACATTTTTGTATTTTTAAATGTTTTTTTTTTAATGTTATACATTGTAAAAATTTAATATTTAGAAATATAATTTTGTATGTATATTGAATGAAATAAAGGAAATAATAATAATAAAATACTTTATTGTAATTATGAGCATTACAATTTGTATACCTACTTAAACTTAAACAGGGGGTACTTATAGAAAACAATTTAGCTTTCGCTCGCTACCGCAATACTCCTACGACAACACACGGCCCAAATATAAAAACGTTTAAAAAATTGGTAATGTATTTCTGACCAATATGGTATTAAGTTATGGAAGAGCGAGAGTTCCTGACACAGACAAATAAACCTGTCCACGATGGGTTCTCAAATATTGTATCACTAGCATAAAGTTTGCTTCAAGATATAATGTTTTTTTAATGTTTAAATCTAAAGAAAATATAACTAGAAAAAAATCCACGCGGACCAGGCAGCAGACAGGACTCGAACCCGCACCCTTCGCAATCCGGTCGAATGCATTAACCAATTATGCTACCGCGGCCCTCACGGAACGCGTCGAAATTCTTCTAGCCATTCTTAAGCTGCAAGGCAGCGCCATCTCTTCGCATTATAGGTAACCCACAATGTCAAATGAAATCAATTTTTTTCCAGTTATATTTTCTTTAGATTTAAACATCAAGCAGTTACATGCTTTAAAATCATAAAAATTATAACTATAGTTTTTGAAATTATACTTCTTTAGGCGCGTTATGAAAAAATGATGAGGGTGCAATTTTTAGATGCGCGCGCATCACTGTAACCCAAAAGTAACAGCATGAAGTTGGCCGCGGGCGCGTTATGAATGTTAGTGTCTAATAATGGTGGATTATTAACCACTAAGTGGTTAATAATCCACCATTATTAGACATCTGATCGAAAGGTACTGTGAACGATCCACGGAGCTCCATAAGATGATCGCGTTGTCAAAAACAATGTTGGCACGCTCGTCGCCTCTGATCACTGTTTTCATATTTATAATATTTATCCACATATTTCTAGTTTCTATATAGACACAACGTGTTTTAGTTACTTACAAGTGCTAATTACATATGGACTAATAACTTAAATTCAGTAGTGATTTTAATTGAATATTTTGAATATTTATTTAATTTTTCAAATTAAAACTGAACTAAATTGACTGTGTTAACTAACCTTTTCCAGTCCTTTTATTATTTTATTGTAATTTTTAATTATTTGCATGCAATTAAAAAATATTTTCAATGATGCTAAAGAAGTATAACTTCTCACGCGCATACATAAGTTACACGCATCCATTTTTTTTTATGTGTTGATTTGACGGTTGCGTGTTGCAGGAATGTCGGGGCAGCACGTGGAGGGGGTGTGGCACACGGCGGTGGTGGTGTACGAGCGGGAGTTCTTCTACGGCGGCGGGGGGGTCACCAGCTGCGCGCCGGTCAGTATGCTCTCAACCTATAAGTTCCAGTAGTTCGGTCTACCGGACTACTGCTACTAGACAGGATTCGAGCCTAGTTTTTATTTAGTGTCTCTCCCTCCTCTTAGGGAATATTTCAATTGTCACAGGCGCCTCTTTTCAACGAAGCAGGAAAGCAGGAATTCTAAGAATACAAGCTTCTAAATTTTGACATAATAGGGGTGATGACGGGGTACAGTCAAAGAAATTCTATTTAGTCCGTCAGTTCGATGATCAAAAAATAATGGACACGTATTTTTTCTTTGGGCAATCAACCAAAAAATTACGAAGATATAGCGCGTCAAAGTTTGGGAGTAGGGGCTCGTGACGTCACTTTTGAGTGAATATTCGCTTTAAAGTGTACTCAAACGTGACGTCATGCGGCTTTTCAAATCAATATATCTCTGCAATGTTTATATTATGTGAAAAAAGAAAAAATACGTGCCCAATACTTTTTGATAATCTATCTGATAAACGAAGAAAAAAAATAGTCATCATCCCTATTGTTGCTATTTCGTGTCCCATTGAGGCTTGTTATACTTTAACGATTTGCAATAAAGGAGCCATCGATAGCGTCACATGACATACTTTTATCGTGAAAAAAATGTTTTTCATTATTACACGTTTTATTTACATTCGGCATTATAATTGTGTAGCGAGCATCTTTGCGGCAAAATCGTCACCTGCACCTTGCGCAGCGTACCGCGTTTTCCTATCAGGTTGACAGCTGCGCGCGTGCTTGCTCTCGCCAAACTTTGGACTTATCACCACAAGATACATGTAATAAGTCATACCATACGAATATTTTGCACGCAACACGCCCACATCGTTGGAGAAGATTTATGCGTGGGCTAAAATTACAAAACAGAACGCGGTACTGCGTCATTTCACTACTAACTATCTCGAGAAGTTTGGGACAATTTCGACGTCGTTTTGACCGTACAAAATTCCAATTTTTTGTAACGCGTGATGTTAAAATTGGCAAATACGAGAATCACATTATCGTAGTTCGACAAGAGACTCTGTGATGTCTGCAAGGTCGTGTAGCTTTAAATTACATTTGTACTGCTACTATTGTCTTTTCTTATAAAGTTTATTCCTCTTCCTATACATATGGAATTCATATCATCATATCTTCAGCGCTTTGCAGACAATTTATATTACATTAAAAAAGTTTATCTCTCAGAAAAATCAACTTACATGAATCACGTTTAAGCGCACTTAGCGACATCTATTGTAAAGAAATCAACGTACATGAATCACATTTAAGCGCACCTAGCGACATCTATTGTAAAAAAAAATGCATCCCACCAAAAACCTTCTGTAAAAAACTAGCCAAGTCTCCATGGAACTGTTTGTTTATCTCTAAAATGTAATGAAATCTAGACGAATTCGTGCTAAGTCTAAAGTTCCTTACTGCGATTTCTTTATTATTATAGTAAATGTTATGTGACTTGGCCGTTGAAGGGTACACAAGGGTACAAAACCAGGTGCTACATGACACCATTGCACCAATCTGTCGCCAGAACCGCTACCCATTGACGATGGAAAATTGCCACTTGGATAACGTTGACTGAATAACCAGTCAATTGTAGGCTTGATAAAGTTGCGTTTACACGTAATGTTGCACGTATGAATGCATCGGTGCAATGGTGTTATGTACCACCTGGTTTTGTACCCTTGTGTACCCTTCAACGGCCAAGTCACATAACATTAACTATAATAATAAAGAAATCGCAGTAAGGAACCTTAGACTTGGCACGAATTTGTCTAAATTTCATTACTTTTTAGAGATAAACAAGCAGTTCCATCGAGACTTGGCTAGTTTTTTTACAGAATGTTTTTGGTGGTATTTCACTTCTTATTGTGAAGAAGAAACGTTAGAAACGTGGGCATATTGATTTATTTTATAAGATTTTCTTATTTGACACATCGGCGCGGTATTTACGCCTTAGCCAGTTATATTCGGTGATCGCTGAAGCTTGAGCTTTTATATTCTTGAAGTTACCATTTATGAGGTGCACCCCATGAAGATTGGTTTCTCGTGAAAGCGCCACGTAGGCTTGGCCTCAAGAGAATATGGAGGTGCCAATGTCCATGAGGGCATTTTTTAGACTTTCACCTTGATATCACCACCGACTCTTAGTCCAATGCATTATATTTTGACTAAATTTTGAGCGAAATTAATATTTTAGTGTAATTTGTTCGACTCGACTTGGCGGGGGCATTGCCGTGCCCCCCGATTTTCTTCGCAATAAAGCTGCCACCTGGACGTCCTAATTAGAGACTTAGATATATTAAAAGTCAACAACCTTCCCAATTTTACTGTTTTCGTCTTACGAATTTTCGATACTCGATTTTCGATTTTCAGGACGTCAGGACTGACGCGATCAGGCCACGCGTGTCCTGACGCGAGTTTAACAGTTTTTACCCATTACAAAAAAGTGTACAATGCCGCAAAAGAAGTTTTTACTTCAAAAAAAGTTAAAAATGGTTTCAATGATCAGTCATTTAATTTCAATCAATTTGAAATTCCAAACCAACCTGATTGCCACCGCGTACACAATAATAGACTTGCGTATAAATAAAATCAAACGTAAGTACATAATATAATGCGACACATAGTTCTATGATTCTATCGTTATTTTTATCTTGTTACATTAATAAATCGGCGTAGTAAGTGTCCAGTGTAGTTTGACTTCCTGGATGGCGCGGCGTCGATACGGAGTGTGGGCGCGCGCAGGTCTAGTTGCGCCGGCGCAGTCCGCACGTCGTCGGGTTGTAAACATATTCTATTTGCGGCGGCGGCGCCACTGTCACTACACGGGAACAATACTGAGTTCACCTGCAACAGTATCTGTCATGTGGGATGATATCAAATGAGCGCCGAACTACTTCCCACAAAAACAAAATAAACAGAAATTGTATTTAATTTAAAACTGATAAGAATATGATTATAGTAGGTACTGTTTAAAATCAAGTTTTGTATGACATAAATTTTGATTGATTAATTAGAAAACTATATGCTCTAAATCTAAAAGGTCAACAGAAAATATAAAGTAAAAAATGCTCATGGTTGCGAAGAGGTAACGAATTCATTATTGTAGTTTTGCGTATTGATAAAAGTGCAAAAACTTTTCTCTTATTATTGCGGAAGGTTCCAATCTCGTCTGATTTTTTTTAACTTTAGTTTTAGCCATTATATTTATTATGATTACTTATGTCACTATTATATGTGAAGATTTATTGTATGTCCAATTAATAAGAGGAAAATCATATCTCTAAGAAATTAGAGATACAGTACTACACTGCCATAAATATTATTTTTAACAAGCACTGCCTGAAGCTATTATGTAATTACCCTAAACTAATTAAAGAAATATAAAAAAAATGGATGCGTGTAACTTATGTACGCGCGTGAGAAGTTATACTTCTTTAGCATCATTAAAAATATTTTTTAATTGCATGCAAATAATTAATAATTACAATAAAATAATAAAAGGACTGGAAAAGGATAGTTAACACAGTCAATTAAGTTCAGTTTTAATTTGAAAAATTAAATAAATATTCAAAATATTCAATTAAAATCACTACTGAATTTAAGTTATTAGTCCATATGTAATTAGCACTTGTAAGTAACTAAAACACGTTGTGTCTATATAGAAACATGTGGATAAATATTATAAATATGAAAACAGTGATCAGAGGCGACGAGCGTGCCAACATTGTTTTTGACAACGCGATCATCTTATGGAGCTCCGTGGATCGTTCAAAGTACCTTTCGAACAGATGTCTAATAATGGTGGATTATTAACCACTAAGTGGTTAATAATCCACCATTATTAGACACTAACATTCATAACGCGCCCGCGGCCAACTTCATGGTGTTACTATTGACAGTGATGCGCGCGCATCTCGAAATTTCACTCACATGATTTTTTCATAACGCGCCCGCGGCTAACTTCATTATGTTACTTTAGTGTTACAGTGATGCGCGCGCATCTTGAAATTTCACTCTCATAATTTTTTCATAACGTGGCTAAAGAAGTATAACTTCAAAAATTGAAAAATTCGCACAGACAGACATTTAGAACGTGTGTGCCCTGTCTACCTACAGCCAAGCATTAGTGTTGTTTATAACAACAGCCGGTTGTTTTACTATACCGACAAGGACGCGAATGTTTACATCTTTAAATATTTAAGATGTTTCAATTGTTGATCCTAATCAGTTTTAGTAGGCACATACCAGCCTCTATTATTTCAAAGACGATTCTGAAAGTTGTCTTTCAATGTAACGCTTCGTCATCTGTCCTACTTTAACATACGTGGCTTTTGATGCCGTAGAGTGACGTGACGGAACATTTTCATAATGTGTATATCGAATATCAATTTTGAATGTGGGTACAGCCCCTGAAGACCTCTCTTGTTGTGACGATAATCCAAACATTGCACTACAACAGGTTTGTATTATAAAACTTTAATGCAGTAATTGTATTTTTTTTATTGTCTTACTTGTCTGCTGAATATCGAAGGAAATTCTGACTTTATAATTATAGTTAGTTTAAATATGTTTGTTGCATAATGTGTGTAACTGTTCATAAGCCATCTTGTCTAATAATACAATAGTGCATCCTGTCAGTTTGCGGAATTTGCAGCGCGACACATTCGACGAGCCGTATTTCACATCTCTCGAAATACGCCCTGTAGTCTCGTTCGTTCCCGGTAGAAAAGAGCAGGACAGCGTGAGACACCTGATCCGCTTTCCGTTTAGCACGCTTCACAAGGAATTCCCTCATATTGTAAAGGTGACTTCTGTAGTAAATGTCGCGTTGAAAGAACTGCCACACACAAGTGGAGTCAATGCTCCGTATTCAAATTAACCAGTGGAGTTTATTACGTAATGTAGTGTATGATACACTCTTAATCCGAAGCTTAATCATGTAGAAATTTATCAAATTCAGGTTGTATTTTAAATACAACGAAACTCGCATAGTTTATATAGGTTTGTTCCCTGTTTTAATAGTAATACCGTTTGCAAAAACAGTCGATACATATACTTTGTCTAATGAAATGTCTCTCGATAGATTTGAAATTAAAATTATCAGCCTAATGTCCTTAGTGCTGGGACACAGACCTTTCCTATGGATTGATTGGGCAGTTTAGCCCAGATCGGACTTGTGGGTGGGAACGACTGCGACTGCACCCGAGACCAATAACAGCTTAACGAACTTTCCTTAGCACGGTGCTTCGAGAAAAATAATGCATACCGAATGCTCTAACAACTTGCGCCTCCGAGCTTCTCGCACATAATGTAGTTAATATTTATATATCACTAGCTGACCCAGCTAACTTCGTACCGCCCTAAAAAATAGGGGTTGTCCAGCGGACAAAATTGTGAATCTAAACCATTCTCAGATCCCCTTGAACACACACAAAAAATTTCATCAAAATCGGTCCAGTCGTTTAAGAGAAGTTCAGTGACATACACACTCACAGAAGTATTATATATATAAAGATACACCCCGGCAAAATTTTCATGCAAAAACTTGAGCATCGCATTTTTAAATGCAAAAACGTCTACAGCGCAAAATTTGTTTATGGTACCAGTCCCCGTTGCATGACCGCCATTTTTATCCCGTCTAGCTATCAAACTCCATAGAAATTTTAACAAATTTCAAAATTGACATTTAGCGTGATAAAAACGAGCGATAAGTAGGTATGCCATATCGCGGTGCTTATGCTAGGAGTCACAGTCAGCCAACTGTATTTTTTTTTAATACGAAGGCTGATAAGGGCCCTATGGAGACTTTAAATGAAGTGGACTGTAAACATAGGTGAAAACTGGTATATTGTTAACAAAAGCAGATATTAAACATTGACGTGGTGTTGTATATAATTTCTTAAGGCGGTTGGACCCCGTGCGATACTGTCTATGCGTGGAGCGTAAGAAAGTGGCCGCCGCCGCGGCCGTTCGTCCCCTTGGTCGCGGTTCCTCATCCCGTGCGTAAGACTGGTCAGCGACAAAGGCAAACGAGCGAACGGTCCACCTGATTTTTCAGTGTGTCAGCAGTGACACAGCCACGCCGCTGCTTTTCGTAGAACACTCTATTTAAGCCTCTCTTGAAGAGGATCATGTTATAGTGGAGGGGAGCTCAGTTTGTAAACGAACAGTTGTGTATTAAGTTCAACGATATTAAATACCCTAGATACACCACGTGCACTCAAAATGTGTCCTAATCAAGAAGTGCTTGAACACCGCTCAAGCACTTCTTGGTTCACAGTCACGCGCGACCGTTGAAAAGTAAAGATGCCGCAGAGCTCCGTGTAAAAATACGAAAACAATACTTATAGTATATTAAGTGACGTTTTTTCGACAGGTATTTAATCAACGTTTGTTAATTTAACGCATTTGAAGCAAATTTTTGTCTTTTACTTACTATAAACTGATTTAATAGAAAATATTTGTGACATTCAAATGCATGGTCGGTAATATAGCCGTCTCTTTTCCTCGCGGTCCGTACCTGCTATATTGCTAACAGCGCATTCAGATTTGCGCGTAGAGTCAAAAGAATAAGGTCTGTATTCTTCCGCATATTGCAATAAGTCGTAAAATTTCGAGCTTGCATTTCGAACTGTCAGAAGTCTTTGACGCACGCGTTTAAATTAAGACCTTATACGGTATGCATTAAAGGTGACTTTCAATTTTTAAATAATGTCCCATATTGTTTTTGCCTACGCGATCATCTTACGGAGCTCCTTGCATCGTTCAATGTACTTTTTAGACAGGTTTCGGCCACGATTTTGTTCGTGTTGGTGTATCTAGGGTATTTAATATCGTTGATTAAGTTATATTAATCTGTAGCGGCAAGGTGTGATGTTGTGATGGTGGTTGTGGTTGCGCAGGGAGGTACGCAGCTGGGCCCGCCGCACCAGGTGGAGCGGCTGGGGCAGACCTTCGTGCCCTTCCAGGTGTTTGTGGACTACATACAGGGGCTCGCCACCACCACATACACGTCAGTATCTTATTGTATTATATTATGTATTATAATAACATTTTAGTAAGTTAAGGTGTCGCTTTCCTCACTGTTTAACCATATTTTGTTTAAATCTAAAGAAAATTTTATTATCAAATATGAAATTGCTCTCGGTCCAGGTTTCCGACGGCACTCGAATTCGCGCCTTCTTCAAATGTATAATACCTGTAAAGGTATTTCGTTTAGCATTGTGAGTTACTTACAATGTGACAAGATGGTGCTGCCTTGCAGCCTAAGAAATACTAGAGGAAAATCGACATGGCTATATTTGGTTCTTTTGTTTTTTAGTGTTCTATTATTGGAGCCGATATATTTTATCAATAAAGGTTTGGCAATAAAACATATACTCAGTATATACACGGTGAATTTTGAGTTACCCGAGAAACATGAAAATATACTAAGAAAAATTCCACGCGGACCAGGCTGCAGACGCGACTCGAACCCGCACCCTTCTCTAACCGGGCGAATGCGCTGACCATTACGCTACCGCGGCCCTGATGGCTGTGCCGAATTCTTCCTAGCCTTTGTTAAACTGCAAGCCAGCGCCATCTTTTCGAATTGTAGATAACCCACAATGCTGCCTGGTTTGCGCTGAATTTTTTCTAGTTATATTTTCTTTAGATTTAAACATCTAGCAGTTATTTGCTTTAAAAAATAAAAATTACTACTATAACTTAAAAATCGTTTAAATAAACATAGTGCGAACAGTTATAAACAACAAACATGCTGCACCCCATACAAAAATATTGTTTTATATTGTAAAACGGCACAAATTTGTTAATAACATACCTATTATGGAATTATTATCCGTTTAAAGCACGCGAATCCTAAAAGTAGTACTATTTGATTATATTTGTAACAATTAAAATTATCAAAGTTTCATAATTGCAAAAATGGTAAGTTAACGTGGAGACATTTTTCGAATAAATCAAATCTAAAAATTTTTTTTTTGTGGAAATATCATCTAAATTATTGTCTATACTAGCTGGTAAAGCTTCTCAGGTAACTGAAAATTGACAGTGTATACTACAAATGGTTTTAGATGCTAACTGAAGCATAGGTTTTATCTGTGAAAAGCATGGGGATATTGGGTCACAACACTCTCAACCACGCAACCACAGTGTGGATCGTGGGGTGCTAAATGATTCATTATGCGGGTAGAGGTAGATTCCTGGGTCATCATCATCAGCCTATTAACGTCCCCACTGCTGGGGCACAGGCCTCGCTATGGGTGAAATAGGGAGATTGGGCCATGACCCACCACGCGGGTCCAGTGCGGATTGGTGGGTGCTAACGACTGCAGATGTAGCCGGAACCAACGGCTTAACGTGCCTTCCGAAGCACGGAGGAGCTCATGATAATAAATAGATGGTCACCCAGCCAATGAGCGACCACTGCGAAAGTTGCTTAACTTAAACGGTCGCAGTCTAACGCACTTACCACTTGCGCCATCGAGCTCGTCAAAGATTGCTGGGTGCTAAAGACCAATGGCTTAACGTGCTGTTTGAAGAACGGGCTCAAGATTAAAAGTTTTTGTCACCACTATTCAATGATTGAGTCTTGCGAAAGTTGCTCGCATCGCGCTAAACACTGCAATATCGACGCACGCATATAAGGTTATTCCTATATTGTTGTATTAAAGTGTGTATTCCTCGCTCCTCCAGGGCAGCCGCGTTCCGTCTGCTGGAGCACAACTGCAACCACTTCAGCGATGAAGTGGCCCAGTTCCTGTGCGGGGCGCGACTTCCCAAGCGGTTAGCGCCCCATCCCGCGCCCCTCACGCCGCCCCAGTGCTGCGCCCTGCGCGCCCTGCTCGACGCCCTCGTGCCGCCCCAAGCGCAGGTTAGCGCCCCATCCCGCGCCCCTCACGCCGCCCCAGTGCTGCGCCCTGCGCGCCCTGCTCGACGCCCTCGTGCCGCCCCAAGCGCAGGTTAGCGCCCCATCCCGCGCCCCTCACGCCGCCCCAGTGCTGCGCCCCAAGCGCCCTGCTCGACGCCCTCGTGCCGCCCCAAGCGCAGGTTAGCGCCCCATCCCGCGCCCCTCACGCCGCCCCAGTGCTGCGCCCTGCGCGCCCTGCTCGACGCCCTCGTGCCGCCCCAAGCGCAGGTTAGCGCCCCATCCCGCGCCCCTCACGCCGCCCCAGTGCTGCGCCCTGCGCGCCCTACTCGACGCCCTCGTGCCGCCCCAAGCGCAGGTTAGCGCCCCATCCCGCGCCCCTCACGCCGCCCCAGTGCTGCGCCCTGCGCGCCCTGCTCGACGCCCTCGTGCCGCCCCAAGCGCAGGTTAGCGCCCCATCCCGCGCCCCTCACGCCGCCCCAGTGCTGCGCCCTGCGCGCCCTACTCGACGCCCTCGTGCCGCCCCAAGCGCAGGTTAGCGCCCCATCCCGCGCCCCTCACGCCGCCCCAGTGCTGCGCCCTGCGCGCCCTGCTCGACGCCCTCGTGCCGCCCCAAGCGCAGGTTAGCGCCCCATCCCGCGCCCCTCACGCCGCCCCAGTGCTGCGCCCTGCGCGCCCTGCTCGACGCCCTCGTGCCGCCCCAAGCGCAGGTTAGCGCCCCATCCCGCGCCCCTCACGCCGCCCCAGTGCTGCGCCCCAAGCGCCCTGCTCGACGCCCTCGTGCCGCCCCAAGCGCAGGTTAGCGCCCCATCCCGCGCCCCTCACGCCGCCCCAGTGCTGCGCCCTGCGCGCCCTGCTCGACGCCCTCGTGCCGCCCCAAGCGCAGGTTAGCGCCCCATCCCGCGCCCCTCACGCCGCCCCAGTGCTGCGCCCTGCGCGCCCTACTCGACGCCCTCGTGCCGCCCCAAGCGCAGGTTAGCGCCCCATCCCGCGCCCCTCACGCCGCCCCAGTGCTGCGCCCTGCGCGCCCTGCTCGACGCCCTCGTGCCGCCCCAAGCGCAGGTTAGCGCCCCATCCCGCGCCCCTCACGCCGCCCCAGTGCTGCGCCCTGCGCGCCCTACTCGACGCCCTCGTGCCGCCCCAAGCGCAGGTTAGCGCCCCATCCCGCGCCCCTCACGCCGCCCCAGTGCTGCGCCCTGCGCGCCCTACTCGACGCCCTCGTGCCGCCCCAAGCGCAGGTTAGCGCCCCATCCCGCGCCCCTCACGCCGCCCCAGTGCTGCGCCCTGCGCGCCCTGCTCGACGCCCTCGTGCCGCCCCAAGCGCAGGTTAGCGCCCCATCCCGCGCCCCTCACGCCGCCCCAGTGCTGCGCCCCAAGCGCCCTGCTCGACGCCCTCGTGCCGCCCCAAGTGCAGGTTACACTATCATAACTCTCCTGTAGCATGCTCGAGGACAGATGCAGCCAGGCAGAATACGATAGAGTGAAGCATAGACTTTACCTTTAATATGAGTTTTACGATTACGTATACTATGATAATTTTCGTAAGCTCGAACAGAATGTCGGTTTACGACATCGATGTTAATTTTTTCGAGCAACATTTAAACAATATCGTCCCTCGTTAACTCGATAGCGCGAACTTCACGGTGCATATTTTCATCTCTCTCGCACGCCATAAGAGAAAGAAGGACCGGCTTCTCTCTAAAGAAGGACCGGCTTCTCTCTAAAGAAGGACCGACTTCCCTCTAATACGTGTGTCACTTTGACGTTACACAATTCGTTTTCCTTTGGTTTGGTTTATGTTAAATACGTTCATTTACGAATACTTTCTTTGAAACGTCAAAAGAGGCAACTCATACTGCCTGTTCACTCGTTCGATGTGTGTAAATAAAACTCAATGTAACTGCTTCTAAAAATTCTCTCTTTATTGAACTTATTAAAGTTGCTATATAGTTTCAATATGCATTAAACGCTACCGCGATTGGATTGGAAAAATGTCCCCATCTATTGATCATTCATGTAAACATTCCTTGATACTATAGATACTCTCGGTGCTCAAATCCATAGCGCGATTCAGACAACTACAATGCCATCTAACCTTTGATTTGTGGTACTATAATTCTAGACATTCCGCCCACCAAAGACTCTGTCTTTTGATAACATTATAACAAAATGAAAAAAAAAACAGTATCTCTAATTACTTTGCTATAAACAAACAAAAATAAGAAAATTTTGAGCACCGCCCACCATAAACATCTCTATTACAAACCAAGTTCTATAAGGAAACTAATTTTTAAATAAGAAACACAATCTGTTACATACACGTTTAAATATTCCATTCTTTGTTTTTAGTGTGACTACTCTAGTCACTCCATCCTTCCCTGTGTGATTTTCTAAGACTCTGCCCAACAACCACTTGGCTGGGGGCATATTTTCTTCCCTTATGATCACTATGTCATCTAAAGCTGGTTCTTGTTCACGTTTTGTCCATTTGAAGCGTTGTTGTAATGAAGTCAGGTACTCGTCAGACCACTTTCGCCAAAAATCATTTACCATTTTTTGGCTCATTCTCCATCTTGACATTCCAGTATAAGAACTTTGTGAGAAATCTTCATCTGGTATCACTATAAGAGGCTCTCCTACCAAGAAATGGCCAGGTGTAAGCGGCAAAGGATCATCCGGATTATCACTAAGATGCGTCAAAGGGCGTGAATTTAAACACGCTTCGATTTGAGAAAGCACTGTTGATAACTCCTCGTAGGTTAGTGTAGATTCGCCAATAACTCTCTTCAAATGTGACTTGGCTGATCGAACACCCGCTTCCCATAAGCCACCAAAGTTTGGGGCGTGTGGTGGGATGTAATGCCAATTTGTGCCTTCGCAGTCTAGTAACTGTCTTACATCATTTTGAAAGTCAGATTTGGCTTTAGAAAACATACGCTGAAGTTCTTTATCTGCTCCAACGAAATTAGTAGCGTTATCGCTATATAGATCCTGACAAGCACCTCTCCTCGACACGAATCTGCGGAATGCCGCGATAAAGCCTTGGGCAGTAAGGTCTGACACGGCCTCTAAATGTATGGCACGAGTAACCATACATATAAATAGACAGACGTATCCCTTATAGGATTTTGATCCCCTGCCTGGCGAAAATCTTAAATTTATAAATCCCGTAAAATCTACTCCGGCACTCTTAAAAGCCTTTGACGGCTTAAGTCTCACTTCTGGTAACTGTCCCATCATTGGATTATGTTTCTGTTTGGAGTAACGTCTGCAGGTTATGCATTCTCTGTAGACTCTTTTCGTTAAAGCTCTTGCTCTTATAATCCAATATTTGGATCGCAAATAATTCTGCATTAGTTGTGGCCCACCATGAAGACTTCTTATGTGTACATCCATCACAATTAATTTAGTCAAATGACTAACACTCGGTAAAATTACTGGATGTCGTTTGTCATACTGTATGGTGGCCTTATCGATTCGTCCACCTACTCTTAAAACTCCATTCTTATCCAGAATTGGGTCAAGAGAGTGGAGGATACTCTTTTTAGGAATGCTCTTTTGTAACTTTAACAATTCAATTTCATTCAAAAAGTACAACCCTTGGGTTTCTCTTATACAGTGGTCCAAAACTCTATTTCTTTCTTCAGTCGTCACAATTCTGTTCAATCTGGTTCGTTGTGCCCTTGGTAGTTTCAAGTCTAAAAGTTTTCGACAGTAAGATAAAGTATAAAGCATTTTAGTTAGTGATGAAAATCTAGTCCAAATAAATGTTTCTTTAATTTCAATTAGATTAGCAAAAGTATTTATTCGACTCTCTTCTTTAGTATCAAATTCTTCATTAACTCTTTGTAAATCATGTTCCAACAGCCATGATGGCCCATGCCACCACAACGGATGATCCCTAAGCTCAGAACAACTCACACCTCTCGAGGCACAGTCAGCTGGGTTGTCATTGGTTCGGACGTAACTCCATTGTTCTGGGTCTAGCATGGTCCTAATTTCTGAGACTCGGTTACTCACAAATGTGACCCATCGATTTGGTTCTCCTCGTATCCAAGCCAAGACAACTTTTGAATCAGACCAAGCATGCAATCGATCTTTGGGGACTAACATTACTTGAGAAACTTCAAATAATAATTTTGCTGCCAAGAGGGCACCGCAAAGTTCCAATCTGGGAACTGATATCTCCTTTTCAATGGGTGCTACTTTAGTTTTGGCAGTTATCAACGATACATGAATAGTACTCTCGGAAACAACTCTCATATAAACTACAGCACCATATGCTGTCTGTGATGCATCGGCGTAGGCATGCAATTCGATAACACTATCTCTATTCGTATTTAACCATCTTGGTATCTCTATGCCTTTTGCTCTCTTCAAATCCTCCTTAAACACTAGCCACTATTTTAACAAATTAGAATGTAATGGTTCGTCCCAATCTAAGCCAGACTTCCATAACTTCTGAATATATACTTTTGCAGTAATAATAATCGGGGCTATCCAACCCATTGGATCGTAAAATCTTGCTATAATAGAAAGCACGTTTCTTTTAGTGACAGGCTGTTTGTCCTCTGGTATTTGCAAAGTATATTCAAAGTTGTCTGTAGATTTATTCCAACATATCCCCAAAACTTTAACCATATCGTTGGATTTGAAAATCATTGGCTGATTCGTGCCTTTGTTTTCTTCTCTTATATGGTCAAGTAACTTCTCGTTATTACTGCACCACTTTTGAATTTGAAATCCTCCGGCTCTCATCATACTGTTAAGTTGCTCGTAAATCTCAATCGCGTCAGATTCTGCCTCACATCCGGTTAAAAGGTCATCCATGTAAATATCATTAATCGTTATCTCTGATGCAACTGGATATCGTGCCTGCTCGTCTCTCGCAAGTTGCTGTAATGACCTGACCGCTAAGTACGGTGCACAGGCAGTTCCAAACGTTAATCGCATCATTTGATAATGTTGCATATGTTCGAGTGGGCTTGATCGCCACAAAAAGCGTTGATAGTCTACATGTTTTTCATGAACACGAACTTGTCTGTACATTTGAACTAAATCAGCAACAATACATATAGGATGTTTACGCCATCTGAAGAGGATATGACGTAAATCTTGCTGTATTTTGGGACCCACCATCAATTTATCATTTAAAGATACGGAATTCATCCCCTTACAAGAGGCATCAAATACAGGGCGTACTTTTGTCGTTTCCCTCTCTTCTCTGATTACAGCGTGATGTGGGAGATAGACAGCATTAGAATTCTCAATCTCTTCACGACTACATATTTGTCTCGCATGGTTTTGTTTTATGTAGTCCTCTATTGCATCCTTGTATTGCTGTTGAAGAGAAGTATCTTTAGACAACTTCTTCTCTAGTAGCATAAACCTCTTATTGGCAATTTCTTTTGATCGTCCGTTAACACAATCGAGATTATCTGTTTTGAATGGAAGACACACAATATATCGTCCGCTTTCATCCCTCTTTGTTGTTTTCTGGAATAAATCCTCGCACGCTCTTTCCTCATTACTCATTTTCTTTTGAATGCAATCTGGTTCTATCTCAATTTCCCAAAATGCCTTCAGTAGTTTCTCAGTTTGATATGAAGTATGTAAACTTATCATCTTTCGTTCTGGTAAAGATTGCTGGTTCGCTATTCTCCCCGACAATAGCCACCCAAGCTGAGTGTTTTGTGCTATAGGGTTTCCATATATTGGATGCTTAATTACTCCTGCCAACAATATCTCACTATGTATTTCTACTCCCAACAAAAGCTGATCTATTTTTCTCGGATATCCATACTCAGAATCGGCTAGTGTCATACTCTCTATTTCAGGCCAATCTGTCACTTTTATGTGGTTAGAAGGCAGGAATTTCGTCAAAGTATTTAAAACAAAGGCGTTCACTTGTATGGTAAATGAAGGGTTATGAATCGATTGAACCGTAAATGTTACCATACTCTTTGTTCTCATTTGTCCATCTCCGACTCCAGATATAACGCCATTGACAGATGATTTTTTAAGACCAAGCATTTGCACTGTCGCTTCAGTTATGAATGAAGCTTCAGAACCTTGATCTATGAGTGCTCTAATTTTGTGACAAATACTGTTTCTAGCTATGGCATGAACTACTGCCGTTGCTAAGAGTGCAGTTGGGTGATTTTGTGTCTCAGAAGCAAAATGGGTGGCAACTCTCTCATCTACTACATTCATCTCTGGTTCTCGCTTCTCTGATGACTTAGGTACTGGTGTAGACTCGTTAGGTGCTAAGTCTCGATTCTCAAAATGAAGTAGAGTGTGGTGCCTTCGGCCACAACGGCGACAGCTCATAATTTTTTTGCAATATTTGACAGCATGATTTGGTGTCAGACAGTTAAAACAGAGACCTTTTGTTTGTACGCAGTCAGATCTTTCTTGAGGTGACAATTTCTGAAATTGTTGGCAATGATAAATTGGATGTTGCTCCCCACACATCGAACAAATGACCAGCTTATAATTGTTTGGCTCGGGTGTAACTGTCGCAGCATGCAAGCTTTTAGACTTGATGGGGCTGGGTTTCTTTTTTTGTGTAATAGATCTCGATATCGGAATATTGTCGATCATCTCGATTGTTCTGAATCTGCGTTCTAAAAACTGAATCATTTGCTTCCAAGTAGATAAATCTTCGAATGAAGTGGTATTCACTTCAGACTCCCATGCTTTGCGTGATTCATTGTCTAATTTGGAATTGACAATATAAATTATCATGACGTCCCAAGTGTCCGTAGTCACGCCAATATTATTCAGAGCTTTTAAGCAAGAATTTGTTGTATCCAATAAACACTTTACTGCAGTTGCTGATTCAGATAATAAAGCCTTTTGTCCGAACAGTTTTTTCAATATCTCATTTGTATTATATCTCTTATTTTTGTAACGTCTTATAAGTTGTGACCATGCTTCGTTGTAGTTGTTCTCAGTAGTAGCTAAATCTTTAATAAGATTTGCTGGTTCTCCACACAAACTGCTCTTCAGATAATGTAGTTTTTGGACTCCAGTCAAGCTCGCGTTATTGTGTATAAATGAGACAAACATGTCAAAATAAGACTCCCACTCCTCATATTTTCCACTAAATGTTGGTAACTTTATTTGGGGCAGCTTGACTTCGCAACTCATAGCACTGGACTGGCTCGTGTTAGGTGTAGTAGGAGGAAGTTTCATTGCAATCTTTTCTTTGTCTAAGTTAAGGTTAGTTTTGTAGTCTAAGTAAATCTCTTCTGCTTGGTTGTAATGATCTTCTTCAAAATACTCTAACTCATCTCGCTCTGGTTTAGTACTAGACTCCAAAACCTGTTCATGTACAGTGTTAAATTGTAACCAAACTCTTTCTAAATTTTGCAATCTCGAATCTATATACGGTATAGTGATACGGTCCTTAGGCGATTTTTTATAATTGTAATATGATTTTAATATATTATTTTTTGTATCTTCTTGCTTTCCAATTAATTTATCCATTGTGAGAATCTTGTTTATAAATTCGTGGTATTAGTATGAAACAATCTTCGTATGTCCATCAAGGGAATTTCACGAAATTATTCTAAGTCTCGTAATCTATAAATTTGTCTAAGTCCCGTAATCAATAAATTTGTCTAAGTCCTCTAAGATTTCAACGAAATTTCACTAAGTGTCTTAATCAGTAAAATTGGCAAAGTCTTTTAAGATTCACTAAATTTTCTAAGTCTCTTTAACACAAATTCCTCTAAGTTTATTTGACACTGTTTCTCCTTCACTTCACTTTACTCACGGTTTAACCAGTCCAACTCCCGGGTTTCGGCACCATATGTTCACTCGTTCGATGTGTGTAAATAAAACTCAATGTAACTGCTTCTAAAAATTCTCTCTTTATTGAACTTATTAAAGTTGCTATATAGTTTCAATATGCATTAAACGCTACCGCGATTGGATTGAAAAAATGTCCCCATCTATTGATCATTCATGTAAACATTCCTTGATACTATAGATACTCTCGGTGCTCAAATCCATAGCGCGATTCAGACAACTACAATGCCATCTAACCTTTGATTTGTGGTACTATAATTCTAGACACTGCCAAATAGCAAACAACTACTCGAAATCGAATACTATTGAAGAAATTAATTCATACTGTCATGCTATTATATTTCATTATACATTCCGCTAGAGACGCTGGTGCAAAATATATGAAAACCATGATCATAGTTTTCAAAAACTACCTAAACCCGTATTCTAAGAGGATTGGGTCATGTGTCATGCTCGAGAACAGGTGCTGTCCGTTGGCCAGGGCCGGATTTTTGCAACATTTAGAACAGCTCGTTGGGCTCTCTCAAAAGTTAGTAAATGGGGTTTTATAAGTACCACTCCAGGATGTAATGCAATACGAGTATGTTAGTATGGACTGATACAGAGCAAAGTTAACTTGAAAAAAATAATTTGGAATCCGCACTACCACGTAGTTTTTTAAATACAACCATCAATTTACAGACTGTGTTACTCAAAGCATTGATGTGATTGTGTTTCTTCGATAATTATACCTAGGTATTTTATATGACTTGAATTTGACAACAGTATATGCTTGTCATGATTTACTGAATTAAATGTAGGGACTGTTGTTAGATTTAGTTTTAAGTTAAGATAATCATGTCAAATCGGACCCAATCTTTGTTTAAACTCATTTCTAAAGATTCATGTTATTTTAATCTGTTTTTCTATATAATAATACTATAAGCGGTCGCCTGCAACATCGTCCGCGATAACTTTTTTTTTTAATTTCTCGAGATCCTGTCACTTTTCTGGGATGAAAAGTATCCTATGTCTCAATGCAGGCCATAAACTATATGTGCACCAAATGTCATCTAAATCTGTCCAGAAGTTTTTGCGCGATCGAGTTACAAACGCACAAACTGTCATATTTATAGTAATAGAAAGTATAGGATGTTTTCAGTATCATCATCAGCCCATTAATGTCCCCACTGCTGGGACACAGGCCTTCCCTATGGATGGAATAGGGAGATTGGGCCATGACCCACCACGCGGGCCCAGTGCGGATTGGTGGGTGCTAACGACTGCAGATGCAGCCGGGACCAACGGCTTAACGCGCCTTCCGAAGCACGGAGCAGCTCGAGTTAGTAAATTTTTGGTCACCCATCCAATAACAAACCACTGAGAAAGTTACTTAACTTCAACGATCGCGGCCGAACGCGCTAACCGCTTGCGTCATCGAGCTCCTCAGTTTTCAGTATAGAGTTGCGTTATGGTAGCCATACACACTACGAGAAATCGTTACGATCAGACTGTACAGTTCGAACGGAACAGTTTATCGTACGTGGCGTACGTATAGGAAACTGTGCAGTTTTATAACATACACGCTACGAATTATCGGTACCGTTGGGACGGTACAGTCTAATCGTAACGATTTACAATGTAATCGTAACGAATCGTACAAAGAACAACTTAAAAGTTTTTTAGATAAATTGAGTGAAATAGTATGTAGTCACCCATTGGACAAATTTATTGTAATGGGTGATTTTAATCTCGGTAATAATGTCCACTGGATAAAGTCAAACGACGAAGTGACAATGACGCCGGTTAACCATTCCGCCGATTTTTTAAATGATTTTTTCTATACCATCGACACATGTAATTTTAGGCAATTTAATGGAGAATACAATCAAAATAATCGCATTCTTGATTTGGTATTTTCCAATGGTAATTGAAACATAAATAGCTGTGTCCAGCCATCGGTTACGGAGGATTTGCACCACAAGTCTTGAAATTCACGCTGAATTTGTTGCAATTCATAAGCTAAAAGAGACGAGCCGTATGAAATATATTTTTGCTCGGGGTGACTACTGTGCGATTACGTCCGAACTTGACAATATTGATCGGTACAATTACTTGGGGGCAGGTTTATTAGAAGACGCAGTTACCAATTTTTATAATAAATTGTACCATATTCGTGATAAATATATACCTCATAAACGTATCAAGCCCGGCTCATATCCACCATGGTATAACCAAAGTCTCACTAAGGTGTTTAAGGAAAAATCGAAGTACCACTCAAAATATAAAATTTACGGTAACTTATCTGATTACCAATCTTTCTCCTTGTTACGTAAGAGTCTACGAAAAAAAAACTCGTAGTGTGTATGGCTAACATTACACGTTGAGTAAGTTTTGTTCGGTTTGTTTGATGCAGGCCGTGTACGCGTCGGGCGTGCGGCACAGCCGGCAGGAGAGCCCCGAGTTCCGCACGCTCAACTGCCAGATCGAGGAGGCCAGGTATGTGTGCACGAATACGATACGATAGGGATGATGACTAATTTTTTTTTCTTCGTTTATCAGGTAGATTATCAAAAAGTATTAGACGCGTATTTTTTCTTTTTTCACACAATATAAACATTGCAGAGATATATTGATTTGAAAAGTCGCATGACGTCACGTTTGAGTACATTTATAAGTGGAAATTCACTCAAAAGTGACGTCACGAGCCCCTACCCCCAAACTTTGACGCGCTATAACTTTGTCAGTTTTTGGTTGATTGCCCAAAGAACAAATACGTGTCCATTATTTTTTGATCATCCAACTGACGGACTAAATAGAATTTCGTTTACTGTACCCCGGCATCACCCCTGTTAATGACTCGCCAACGGCAACGATATGCTTGAAACAGTTTATTAATGACAGAAATAAAAACTGCAACAAAACGAGGTATAAACTTAAAAACATGTCGGTAAACCAGTAGATTAACATAAATTTATAAAATACAATGTATATGACATACAATTTAACTTACCCCACTATAAATATTTATAGAATACAATGCTTATGACATACAATTTAACTTACCCCACTATAAATATTTATAGAATATAATGCTTATGACATACAATTTAACTTACCCCACTATAAATATTTATGGAATATAATGCTTATGACATACAATTTAACTTACCCCACTATAAATATTTATAGAATACAATGCTTATGACATACAATTTAACTTACCCCACTTTAAATAAAACAAGTTTCAACGGGTTAGATACACTGAATTTATTTATTGACGTTTCGCATCCTTTGCAGAAATGCGTCGTTGAAATAATGATTTTTTATTATTTAATGAGTGATGTGCGTGAAAACCTAAGAAACAAATTAACCCAATATAGATTGAAAACTTATTATGTTAAAGAAACATTTTAAATCGTGCCGAAATCAAATAAATTACAATAGGTATCACAAAATAGATCTATATTTTTTCGAGTTTTCTGCTGAACTGACAATAAGATAAGATATTGTTTTAAACTTTTATGATCACTAACATTATAGTAAAATAAGTTATTTACGGGATTGTTACCATGTACCTTGTTTTGAATGAAACAATAAGAAAATGCAAGACGGTTTTGGCGTATCGTCGGAGTAAACCTATTCTCAGAAGATTGCGTACAACGTACGATACGATCTTGAACTTTCGGATGAAACATAATTTTTTACAATGAGTGTATCTTGGCTTAATTTAACCCTCATTAGATTTTCAGCTTATTTTTATTTGCATGATATTCTTTATGAATTTTATTTGTCACATTCAATGATTTGAAAAAAATCACAGAGAAAATTTCTTTAAACCGTCAGATTAAGAAAATCCCTCCGAATATTCGTCACATTATGGATCAGCATGACAAGGGCATCAAGCCGAACCGTTTTCAATCCATCCGTACAGCTAGTCCCACCATGCAAACCGGTAGATAAACATTCTTTCGTCATCAGAGACACAAGGGGCATATACAATATCAATATCTGACACGCTCGAGTATTTCCATGTGACTATTATGTTTTTACATTTTTGAAAGCTTCTAGACGCTTGTTCCACCGGTGAAAGGGTATGCATCATTTAACCTTTTTTTTCTACCATCTGATCTTCAAAATTCAATAGGTCTCCACGACGCTCGAGTTAATCCACATTAAGCATGGGATCCTCTACTATTAGTATAATATATAACGTGTAGCCATATTTATAAAATAGATCAGTAAGTGTATTACAATCGTACACCTCAACAAATATGAAGTTAAAAAGAAGATCACTAATTTTTTACTTTCACTAGATTACGAAAAAACTGAGGATTTGGTTGCCATTGGCCCTATAAATATAAATGCTTATAATTATATATACACATACCATACATACAATCTGAGGAACCTATTCGATGCCACTGAGATACATGCCATACCAACTACCTTCATCTCAGAAGCTCGAATCTCCCAAATTTGCTTTGACAGGTAGTAGCATCTGTTAACGTTATTTGCATGTGAAACAAAAAAGTAAGGCAAGGTATGATTGGCTTACCCCCCGTGATGCTATTAGGAATGAAACGATACGAGTAAATACAAGTAACTACTCGATACTTTTCTTTCGATACCAAGTAGTTTTGGCATCGATACTTTAGAACTGAGTAACAAGTAGTATCGTGAAGTAACTACTTGTATCGGTACTCGGTCGGTCACTCACTGAGAAGTATCAAAAAAACTCATATGCAGATAATTTACTCTATGGTAAGGTTTCTAGTTGGAATTTTTGTTTCGCGAATGCATCTTTTCTACTGCTCAGTTGGCAGCCTTGCGTATGATTTATATTTATTCCAATTACTGTCAATCGTTCATTCATCGCGTTGCGTGAGCCGTTGTCTTGTTTTCGTTAAATAAAACTGTGACTGAATTTGTAATTGTAATATCTTTCGTCAAAATTATCGATACAAGTAAGCATCGATACTTTTCATTCGATACCGATCAGGTGTCGATACTTTATGACCGATACAGTATCGAGTAAAAGTATCGATCGGTACCTAGATAGTATCGTTTCATCCCTAGACGCTATAATGTTGCAATGTGTGTATGGTGTCGATCAGGGTGGCATCGGCAGCGCTGGAGCAGCGTCGCAGCACGCTGGCGGAGAAGCTGGCGCGCAAGGAGCGACGCCGCGAGAAGAAACGACGCAAGATGCTGCAAGCCGAGCCGCAGGCACCGGACTCTACCACCACGCCCGAGACCAGCGCGCGTGAGTACAATACTGCTATACGACATAATTGTAATATACTAAAAATTAACAATCATCTAATATATAAAATTCTCGTGTCGCGGTGTTTGTGGTTAAACTCCTCCGAAACGGCTTTCCCGATTCTCATGAAATTTTGTGTGCATATTGGGTAGGTCTGAGAATCGGACAACATCTATTTTTCATCCCCCTAAATGTTAAGGGTAATCCACCCCTAATTTTTTTTTCAATTTTAGATTTTTTTTTATTTTTTTATGATACATTAAACAAAAATACATACAACCCTAAATTTTCACCCTTCTACCACCAACCCTTATTTTTTTATGGCGGTACGAAGTTCGCTGGGTCAGCTAGTCTATATATATAAAACTCAAAGGTGACTGACTGACATAGTGATCTATCAACGCACAACCCAAAACCACGGGCTGAAATTTGGCATGCAGGTAGATGTTATGACGTAGGCATCCGCTAAGAAAGGATTTTGATCAATTCTACCCCCAAGGGGATAAAATAGGGAATGAAAGTTTGTATGAAACTTTGTCAATTTTAAACTGATCGGGCTGAGACTTTGCATGCAGGTATAAGAAGAATCATAGATGAATGTCATTGTGTATAATACAAGCCTGAGAACAAAAACTGTAGTCTACACTTCAGCTCTACACCGAAGCGAAGCGAGGGCGGGCCGCTAGTTACTATTAAATTGTTATTATTAAAGCATTTAAATGTTTAAAATTCAAAGATTTTTTTTCCGAGTTAGAGTCTCGTCCGCTGCCTGGTCCGAATGGATTTTTTTCTAGTAAAATTTTCTTCAGACTTAGATCTTATTTTCTGTGCAAAATTATTGATCTTTGTTTGGTAACGCAAGAAGTGAATTGCACTAGTTTAAATTATTACGAAAGTATTGGAGTCAGCACAGCGCCGACGCACGCCGTTCGTAAGCACAAACGCCTATGAAAACTGCCTTAGCACTTTCGCAGGCCGTTCCCAACTCCAGATAGGCATTGTAGGCGTTTGGTTTCTTATTGTGTTTTCGTTATTTTGGACAAATTGATACTTCGGTAAACTGCAAAACTGAGACCTCGCCTGCGGGGTACAGGGGAGCACCTCTCGCCCTCCCGGTCTACGTATAATACTAGGGACACTTAACTTTAAGGAGCTAAAGTTCATTTAGTGAAAGTGGTTACATAGTGACATACAGTGCCGTCTTTGGCCTATTGGAAGCCCTTGGCATATTAGGATAATGGGGCCCCTATGACTTCCGTTTGGTGATTTAACAGGAACTAAGAACTTTGTATTTGATCTGAGGGGGCCCCCTATCGATCGCGGGGCCTTGGGCACTTGCCCAAAGTGCCCACTGGGAAAGACGGGTCTGGTGACATAATAACTTGGAGGGACCAACGTTTCTGAAAATACCACCAAGATTCCAGAGGAGCACATCACATGGACACTATGGAGAAATAAGCTACTTGTCAGCATTGCCGCAGCTAGGCTTTAGTTCGGAGGGGGAGGGATTTAAGTAAAACTAATAGGTATGTTCGCTACAAAACGACACAACATAGGAGCAATCTTCTCGTTATTTCTCAGAACCAGAAATTGCATGTTAATTTTCTCCATCTTTCTGTAAACACCTAACATACACAGGCTATAAAAGCGATTACCGAGCATCGTCGACCTCAAACAGTATGGCTTTTTTGGTTGCAGGAGAGAATCTTCCGCCTGCTTTCACAACTTCGCAAAGTCCAGATCTCTAAGGTGTTCTCTTGGCATACCCTCACAAGAGCGGATCCATCTTTGGCGCCAGGGGGGGTCATATAGTCGTGGTCAAGTCACAGTAGGTACAGATTGTGAAGTACAGATTGTGAAGTACAGATTGTTAAGTGGGTACAGATGGACCCAGCCCAGGGGGGGGGGGTCATGACCCCCATGACACCCCCCTGGATCCGCCCTTGTACCCTCATCCTTACATCATTTAAACCACACTTCGGCGTTATTATCGAAGGATTCTAACCTGTAGTATACGCTGAAACTTTGTGTTTTCTGTTTGAATTCAGCCAATGATATATTCAACATGGCACTAGGATGCATCGCATTATCAAACAGAAGTCCGGCATATGTGAACATATATATACGGGATGAAGATCGATCGCTTCGAAAAAGCAGCCTATAAATGTTTGGTTTGAACGTATTGTTGTGTTGACAGTGTGCGGTTTGCGTGGACACACTCTGACATTCTATTGGCTGATGAAAAATTTCCGCGATATATTTAAAAATATTCTTTTTAGTAAATTACGTAGCAGTATTAAGTGAGGAGCTCGATGGCGCAGGTGGTTACCGCGTTCGGCTGCGATCGTTGTAGTTAAGCAACTTTCGCAGTGGTCGGTCATTGGATGGGTGACCATGCTTCCTCCGCGCTTCGGAAGGCACGTTAAGCCGTTGGTCCCGGTTGCATCTGCAGTCGTTAGCACCCGCCAATCCGCACTGGGCCCGCGTGGTGGGTCATGGCCCAATCTCCCTATTCCATCCATAGGGAAGGCCTGTGCCCTAGCAGTGGGGACATTAAGAGGCTGATGATGATGATGACGTAGCAGAATGATAAATATCTACTTTTTATGAAACCAATAAAAACTAGTTTATCATCGTATTAATTTTATGGTTGGTCCAGAAATTTTGCCAGACATCCTATCAGGTTAGACTCCACTGTAAGGCGCAATTACATTTGGTCGTTATCCCGTATTCGGGCGCACGAAAGACATTACCAGATTTCGGGCACCCGATGCAATAATTACATTGTTTTAATCAAATTCGGTTACTGGAACACGGCCAAACGACCCCGCGCCTGCATTAAGGTTAGACTGTACCTCAGTTACCTCAGCCAGATTGGGGGGATTCCCCCCAAATGTGGAGAAGTGTTCTTTCCAACTTAGATTGTGATATTTAAGTAACTTTCGCAATAACTAATCATCGGATCGAACGAAAAAAATCGGACGAAAATTCTATTTCTAGAGCTTCTCCGAGTGAAGAACGTTTAGCTGTTGATCCTGCGCCCGTACTCAAATTTAACTTTCGATATATCACTCGATCGTCTATCCTACTTAAAAAATGGGTGCGTGTACTTATGTAGGCGCGTGAGAAGTTATCCTTCTTTGGCATCGTTTAAAATTAGTTTTTAATTGCGTGCAAATAAATAATTACAATAAATTAATAAAAAGTCTGGAAAAGGACGAAGTCAATAAAGTTCAGTTTTAATTTGAAAAAATAAATAAATAATCAAAATATTCAATTAAAATCGCTACTGAATATAATTTATTAGAACATATGTGATTTGCACTTGTATGAAACTCTAACACGTATTCCGAATATACAAACTAGAAACATGTGGATAAATATTAAAAATATGAATACCTATAACTGTTACTTTATTACAAAAAATAAAGATGTGGTTTTTGGTTCTACTACACCAATGGTCAAGAGATGGCGCTGTAATCTCCTGAAACGCGCTTTGGTTCCGTTGTTCCAGATTAATAAATACTTTTGATAGGCCTTCACAATGCAGTCGTTAGCACCCACTAAATATAGATTCTATTTCTATTTTGTTGGTAGATTTTCTTAATGTGCGGTAAACACAAAAGTAACGCATGAAGTTGGTCGCTAAAGCGACCAACTTCATTATGTTAAAATTTTGTGTTACAGTGATGCGCGCGCATCTTAAAATTTCACTCTCATCATTTTTTCATAACGCGCCTAAATAAGTATAACTTCAAAAAACAAAAAAAATAAATGAGATTAGAGTATAGGAAAACCCCCCACAACGAACGAACAAAATCCATTTGATGATTCCTGGCCCTCTGGTCGATTCTGTAGTAGTTAGTATCCAGCACTTGGCAATGGAATTGAGCGTACTCCTTCCTTAAAGGCCGGCATCGCATTTGTGATACTCCTGGTGTTGCAAGTGTCCATGGGCGACGGTGATCACTTACCATCAGGTGAGCCGTCTGCTCGTATGCCACCTATAACATAAAAAAAGGGCTTTGGGCCCTGCTTTCTATTTGAAGCGTAGATATTGACCCAACAACAATAGGAGGAATATTTTTAGGATAAAAATCTGGTTATACCGCTTAAAAGGAAAACGACATTGGGTAACCAAAACGATAGCTGTTCGAATACGGGCGTACTCGACTCCGATCATCTAAATTTAGTCGTTTCTCCGCATTCCATAAGCAATCGTATATGAGCTAACGACCAAGTGTGCCTTTATTTTTATTGTCGGAGTCCCGACGCGAAACATTTTTATGTATGACTAGCGGCCCGCCCTCGCTTCGCTTCGGTGTAGAGCTGAAGTATAGACTACAGTTTTTGTTGTCAGGCTTGTATTATACACAATGACATTCATCTATGATTCTTCTTATACCTGCATGCAAAGTAGTCGCAGCCCGATCGGTTTAAAATTGACAAAGTTTCATACAAACTTTCGATCCCTGTTTTATCCCCTTGGGGGTAGAATTGATCAAAATCCTTTCTTAGCGGATGCCTACGTCATAACATCTACCTGCATGCCAAATTTCAGCCCGATCCGTCCAGTGGTTTGGGCTGTGCGTTGATAGATCACTATGTCAGTCAGTCATCTTTGAGTTTTATATATATAGATAACGATACGATTCCAGCATGTAGTCATTGCAGACACCTTATAGTACATCGTAGACCCGCGGTAATTGTACAAAAGTTTTGCAGGACGATATCGCCGTACGACTTGTACCCGGGTTGATTCCGGCTAAGCTTGTTCGCGAACACGGTTTGTGCTTTTGTTTTGACATCAAACCGTCGCTAGCGCCGGTGTCGTTGACAAACCTCCATAGCAGTAGTTTTTAACCGGTGGTCTTTGGAAGCACCCGAAGTGGTTCACGTAGCCATTATAAAAAAGATTACGTAAGGAAGAACTTTGATTGATTTTCAAATTCTAGGTGGTCCGTGGCAAGACCACCATTGCACCATAGTGTCCCATACCT